ATTTTCTCCCAGTGTTTTAGCTCTTACATTTAGGTCTTTGATCCATTTTTAATTAATTTTTGTATATGGTATGAGGTAGGATCCAAATTCATTCTTCTACATGTGGATATCCAGTTGTCTCAGCACCATTTGTGGGAAAGACTGTTCTTTCCCCATCGAGTGGTTTTGGCAGCCTTATCAAAAGCTAGTTGACCATAAAGTAGTGGTTTATTTCTGAACTCTCAGTTCTCCTCTGTTGATCTATATATCCTATGCTGCACTGTCTTGATTACCATAGCTTTGTAGTAAGTTTTAAAATGGAGAAGTGAGAGTCGTCCAACTTTATTCTTTTTCAAGATTGTTTTGGGTATTCCATAAATAGTCAAAGGTTCCTTAAATTTCCATGTGAATTTTAGGGTCAGCTTGTTAATTCTGATTAGAAGGCAGTTGGAATTTTGATAGGGATTGCATTCAGTCTGTACATCAATTTGGGAAGTATTGCCATTTTAACAATATTAAGTCTTTCAGTCCATGGATATCTTTCCATTTACTTAAGTCTTCTTTATCTCTTTCAACAATGTTTTGCACTTTGCTAATTTGTTACTCTTTTTGATGCTATTATAAATGTAATTGTTTTCATAAGTGTCTTCTCAGATTGGTTTTTGCTAGTGTATACAAATGCAGTTGATTTTTATATATTGATCTTGTTTCCTGCAACCTTACTGAACTCATTTATTAGATGTAATAGTTTTCTTGTGTGGATTCCTTAGGATTGTCTTTGTGTAAAATCACATCCCCTGCAAATAGAGGTAGTTTTACTTCTTCCTTTCCAGTATATATGCCTTATATTTCATTTTCTTGCCTAAGTGCCTTGACTAGAACCTCGACAGTATAGTGTTGAATAGTGTTGTCCCTGATCTGGGGCAGGCGTGGGGTGAACATTGAGTATGATGTTAGCTGTGAGGTTTTTGTAGATGCCATCTATCCGATTGACAGAGTTGACTTCCATTCCTAATTTGTTGACTGTTTTTATCATGAGGAGGTACTGGATTTTGTCAGATGCTTTTTCTGCATCTGTTGAGAGGATTGTGTCGTTTTTGTCTTTTGTTCTTTTGATGTGGTGTATTACAGTCACTGATTTTTTATTTTAAACCAACCTTGCATTCTTGGAATAAATCCCACTTGGTCATGGTATATAGTCCTTTTTATACATTGCTGGATTCCATTTGTTAACATTTTGTTGAGGATTTTTGTGTCTATATTCAGTATTTACTGATTATTTAAAAACAATATTTGAGAAAATTTAAACATAAAAAAATCTAAAAAACAATATAACAGATATATGTTTCCTAATTTAGTCAGTGCCTAAAAATCACATGTAACTTTTTGTCTTATTTTTTTGGCATGAATTTTTTCACCCTCCTTGCTCACCCCGCCTTCTACTCCCTCCTCTCTCTCCCCCTCTCTTTTGAGAAGTAAAGTGTTAGAGTTCAGTGCTGGCCATGATGGAGTAAGCCGCCTACAGGCTTTCTCTCCTGCTGATGACGGGTAAAAACGAGATAAAATATTAAAAACAGTACAAAGCCGATAGGTTGGGAAAGGTATTCGAAACTTGGAGCAGTGACCATGTACGTGTGAGTTTTCCACTTTTTAACGTCTTTTTCCCATTTGACCTTTGACCATGGGCCAGCTATCCACTATGGGGCTGTGCTGTGAGAATTGCTGCACATACAGCAAAAACTCTCAAGAGAAACCCCTGTCTTTCTGCCTAGAGAAACTGGAAAGGGGCCCCTGTAAGCAGAAGCATGTGAGGGAAAGGCAAAAGAACTAGAATACTCAGAACAATTTTGAAAAAGAAGAACAAAGTTGGAGGACTCGCTCTATCAGCTATCAAGACTTACTATGAAGCTGTAGTCAAGACTGATATTGGCAAAGGGATAGGTACATAATAGTCAACTGGACAGAATAGACACTCCCAAGATAGACCTACACAGATACGGCCATTAACTTTTGACCAAAGTGCAAAGGCTGTTCAGTGGAGAAAGGATAGTCTTTTCAACAAGTGGTATTGGAATAATCAGACATCCATCTGCAAAAAAGGGAAGCTCAAATATACCTTGCACATTATATTAAAAATTATATAATAGTATTAAATTATTTATAAAAATTATAAAATACATAAAAATCTATCACACACTGAAAGTAAAACCTAAAACTTTAGAACTTCTAGAAAAAAACAGGAAATCTTTGTCATCTTGAGTTAAGCAAAGCATTGTTAGATACGACACCGAAAGAATGATCCATGAAAGAAAAGTCAGGGGCGCCTGGGTGGCTCAGTCAGTGAAGCGTCTGCCTTCAGCTCAGGTCATGATGTCAGGGTCCTGGGATCGAGTGCCGTTGTCAGGCTTCTTGCTCAGCAGGGAGTCTGCTTCTCCCTCTGCTGCTCCCCCTGCTTGTGCTCTTTCTCTCTCTGACAAATAAATAAATAAGATCTTTAAAAGAAAGAAAAGTTGAGCTAGACTGCATCAAAATTTAAAACTTATGTGCTCCTACAATGGTAGGAGAATGAAAGACAATTCACAGATTGCGAGCAAATATTTGCACATTACGTACCTAACAAAGGACTTTTAACCAGAATATATAAAGAACTCTCAAAACTCAACAACACAAATAACTCCCCCCAAAATAAACAAAAGATTCTAACAGACACTTTGCCACAAAAGGTACACAGATAAAAGGCACATGAAAATACCTGATTATTCAGTAGGGAAATGGCACACAAGATACACTACACATCTATTAGCATAGCTAAAATTAAAAGCTAACTTTTTAAAAAATCCTACCAAACTAAGTGCTGGGGAGGATGAGGAGCAATTGCAATTTTCACGCGCTGCCAGCAGGAGTACACGATGGCACAGCTCCTTGGATGAGTGCTTGGGCAGTTTCTTATAAAGTGAAGCATGCATTTACCGGCAGACGCATTCTGAGGTATTTACCCAAGAGAAATAAAAACATGTTTACACAAATACTTGTGTGCAAGTCGTTATAGTGGCTTTATTTATAATCACCCAAAACTAGAAACAACCCACGTTTTCCACCTAGTGAATGGATGAACAAAGGGGTCCATCCATACAGTAGAATTAACTACATAGCAGTAAAAAATATATTATCGATATTCCCAAAACATGGGTGAATCTCAGGCACACCATGCTGAGTGAAAGAAGCCAGACTCAGACGGTTCCATGGGGTACGAGTCCATTTATGGGACAGTCTGGAAAGGGCAAACTGATGGTAACAGAAAACATGAATGGTGGCCAGGATTTGGGGTGGAGGAAGGCTTGACCACAGAGGGCGTGCTCAGGGACAGAACTGCATTGTGACTGTGGTCATGGTTACACACCTGTGTGCATCTGTCAAATATTTATAGACCTGTGCACCAGAAGGGGTGATCTTTATGTAAGCTTTAGAAAGTGAACAAAGTGAGAAATAAATGCTAGATACATCAGAAAGCTAAAGCCCCATTCCCACCCCAGCTCCCACCCCTCCTTGCCAAGGTCATGTCAGCGCTGTCGTGAAATTGGTGAGTGCCTTGCTCCCCTGTTCTTACTGTGCATGTTTGTATAATCACGCTGTGTTCCAAACATTTATATAAATGGTACAATAGTACATGTATTGTTTTTGCAACATGATTTATTTCTCTCAACATTGTGTTTCTGAGTTTGATACGTGCCTAGATCTATTTCATTTATCTTCACTTCCTGTCTCCGTCGCTCGGCCGCCATCACAAAACCCCGCGGACCGGGCCTTCAGCGGCAGACCGTTGTTTCTCACGGTTCTGGAGGCTGAAGTCTGAGATCGAGGTGGCGGCCTGCAGACGGCCACCTTCTCGCGGTGTCCTCACCAGGAGGCCAGCGACCTCTCCCCTCTCCTCCTCTTCTGTGAGGACACGGGTCCCATCTGGGGGATCCCTCACCTCACCCCCGCCTGGGGTCCCCCCTCCTGATGCCATCCCGCGGGGGGTTAGGGCTTCCACGGAGGAGTTTGGGGGACACGTTCAGTTCTTAGCACTTTTTAACAACTCATTTAGTGTTTAATAATAGAGCGTTTTTGACATTTATTAAAATAAACTACACCAGTGCATATCCTGTGCGTCTCTGTTCCCTTGTCCACACGCCTGAGGCTACACCCAGAAATGGAGTTCCCACCTTGTACAAGGGGTGCGCACACCACACTTTATCATTTTTGTCTTCATATGAGTGTAGCGTCACTTACATTCGCGCGACCTCATCACTCTTGACAGGCTTTTGTAGACCTTAGTGGTACCTCATTGTTTTCACTTGCATTTCCTTAGTTGCTGATGAAGCTGAATATCTTACATGTTTGTTCTCAATTTGTTTTTCTTGTCCAGAAATTGCCGGTAAGCCTCCTTTATCTGTTTCTGGAGGTGGGGCTCTTTTTCATTTTGTCTTGTCCTTGAGGGGGGCTGGCACTCTGTTTTAGTCCAAGCCTCTGGGACTTGGTCCTATAGAACATCCCACATTAGGCCACAGCCATACCACCCTGAACATGCCCAGTCTCGTCTGATCTCGGAAGCCAAGCACGGTCGGGCCTAGCTAGTACTTGGAAGCAAGAACATCCCACATTTAGGATGAAAGTGTCTAGCAGTGCAGTGGTCTGGTGTTGGGCTCAGCGGTTTCAGGCTGGTGACACAGCGTGGAGAGTGCCTACCACGTGTCTGTGCTTTCTCTCGTTTCTCCCGTTTCCAGAGGGGAGGCAGGCACTGAGCGTGGCTCCTAGATGACAGTGCTCAGCAGTGAAGTGGTGCTCCTCCTGCAGGCTGGAAATACAGGGGCCTCCTGGGAGAGGACCGGTGGCAGAGGGGGTCCTTCCAACCACCACTAAGCCCCCGTCGGGAAGGGCATCCTGCTCTCAGGCACCAACCCACCCTGTGTCGCGGCAGAAGGCAGCAGGGGTAGGCCCCAGTGGCACTCTGGCCTGCTCAGACCTGTGCTTCTTCCCAGGCCCCACCATGTCCGAGCCCCAGAGCCCAGAACCGGCCCTCAGTATACAGGGAGACTCCCCCACGGGCACGAAGGATGAGGACGCTGCTGACGGGATCCAGCACTCACACCGCATGCTCAGCTTCAGTGATGCACTCCTGTCCATCATTGCCACTGTGATGGTCCGTGTGGGGCCCCACCCAGAGCCCCTCTCACATCAGGACCCCTGGCCACCCCCTCTCAAGACAGTCTTCTGGTAGAGCTTGGCCCAGTATAGACCCTGCCCTGTCTCAGCAGTGTCCTGGGGTCTCCCGGCCGCTCAGGCAGCTGGATGGGTGGGGGGAGCAGTCCAGCACTGGCCCAAGTCCCTGGCACCGTGGCATCCAAGGAGTGGTCTGTGCACAGCCCAAGAAATGTCCCTTGGTTCTTTTTGTGTCTTTGCTCTCATAGATCCTGCCTGTGACCCACACGGAGATCTCCCCAGAACAGGTACTTGGGGACCACAGTCTGCAGCATCCAGGGTGAGGGTGAGGGTGCAGGAGACTCAGTCCATAAGCCCAATTCTAGGCTCCACCCAAGATGTGCCTGGCTGGGAGGGCTGGGGCGAGGTCGTCTTCTGCTCCCTCGGCCACCCTGGTCGGCCCCAATCCTGGCCTGCAAATAGGGTCAGTGCCCTCAAAGTGAGCCTTGAGGGTGGGTTGAGAATAGAAAGTGCAGTAGCCCATCTGGTTGTGGGCCTGGAAACCTGTTCCTGGCTCCCCCAGAGTGTCCGTCACGGTAGATGGTTACTACTGGGCTGGGGGCCTCCTCAGTGCACAGGGGCACATGGGTTTTATCATAGAAGTGAGTGGGAAACAGTTCCTAAAGCAGAGTTTCCATTTGTATTAAGAGAATATTTCTGTTTCATAAATTAAGTAGTGACACACAGCACCTCAAAAGCTGGACGCGATTTCAGAAGACTCTTGAAAGTCCCCGGGCATGCCTGTGTGAGCGTGCCTCTCTCAGCCCCTCAGTGTGAACGGGGGTGTGGTTGGGGCACGGAGGAGTGAGGGTGGGAGATGCTGGGGCTGCTGGGCCTGCCAGCTGCCGTCTGGGCTCCAGGCCCAACTAGCATGCTTAGCCTGGATGCAGCTGGGAATCACAGGAGCTGCTTAGACTTTGTCTTTTTCATCTCTGGAAGAGTGACTGGTACCTCTGGTAGGGTTTTGAACAGAATTAAGTAGAAATGCAGGTCGAGCCCGGTAGCCGCAGCGGTGCCACTCTGCTCCCTAGCTGCCCTCTTCAAAGGCAGCCTGCTACCCACTGGGGCCCTGGTGCTCACCTAGCTGTGCCTGCTCCAGAACCTTCTCTGGGGAGGGCCTGGGCCTGGGCCAGGTCAGAGACCTCAGTGCTACCAATTTCAGAATGGGGTGTGGATGAGGAGCTCCTGGGGGCTTGGTTTCGGCTCAGGTCCTGACTCATGGATGGTTAGATCAAGCCCCACATCGGGCTCTGCGCCCAGTGGGGGAGTCTACTAGAGATTCTCTCCCTCTGCCCTTCCCATCCCGCACATGCTCACTCTCTAAAAAAAAATAAAATCTTTAAAAAAAAAAAGATTGGGGTGCGGATGGTAACAGGAGATGTCAGGTGGCACGGGAAGGTGTATGAGTAAACCTCACTTCTCTGCAGTTGGGGTCATCTTTTTGGAGAGCAGTACTTGTCGTCGTGAAATCTCTGTGTGTGTTAGCTGGTTCGTGGAGAAGCTCTGAGCCAGAAAGTTGTGCAGTGGTCTGGGGACGCCCACAGAGAGGACAGTGCTGGAAGGTGTCAGCTGGCAGGCACTCCTCCCAACTTGAAGGGAAAGACTAGTCAAGGTCCAGAAAACCTAGCAATTCAGAAACTGAGTCCTCAGTGAAGTACTGGGATACTGGGTGAGACACCCAGTTGCGGGTAAAGAACCAGAGAAAAGGGCAAAGCAATCAGTTTTCCACTTTGAGTTTTTGCTGATAAAGTCCAAGCTTTGTGTCCAGCTCATTTCCATTTTCCCCATCATGCCTGCAAGTCACTTCCCACCTGGGGGAGGTGCCTCCACGACCTCCCCAGGCTTCATAGCTACGTCAGATTGGGATACCTGGCAGCTTGGTTGGCTCTCTGCTCTGGACAAAGAGTCTCTGCCTCAAGAGCCGTCATTTCAGCGGGAAGCTCCACACGAGATCCCCAAATAGGCACCTGTGGGATGTGGGGCATGGGTGGTGTGGAGCAAGGGGTCGGGGGCTGGGAGGCTACCCCGAAGAGGAGCCTCTTCTCCGCAGGGAGGGGCTGGGGTAGAGGCCGATCCAAGGACCCTTCACGGGCCCTGCATGGGGCCGCCCTCTGGCTGCCGCAGAGTAAAGTCTGATGCTGACGCTCTTCTGTTCCGCCAGTTTGACAGAAGTATACAGAAACTTCTAGCAACCAGGATTGCTGTTTATCTGATGACCTTTCTCATCGTGACTGTGGCCTGGGCAGCACACACAAGGTACGGAGCCAGGCTGAGGGCTTTTTCCAGACTGAGCTCCACGTCTTTGTGGCTCCCTCGGTGTGTGTGCCCCGTGGCTGCAGGCCTCCGCTTGCTCGCCTCCACATGACACAGCGTCGCCCGCTCCCATGGGCACACGCGCTGGGCCTCGACCTGGCACGGGGCAGGGCAAGCGCAGGACTGCAGGCGGACTGCCTTGTGCATCCCTGTGGCGCTGCGCTGTGCATGCACGCTCCCTCTGCCCGGTCCCGGGACTCTGGCGAGGAGGAAGAGGCTGCACGATGCACACTCCCGAGCCAGAGCCTTCTTTTCGGGAGGGGCTGCAGGGGACCCCTGACCCCCAGGCGGGACAGGCGGGCTCTCAGGAAGAGCGTTGGGGTGGATGTGGGCACGGATGCCCTCCGTTATCGGTCTGCCCTTGCAGAGGAAACACTTCTGGTTGGGGGTGCCCGGCGAACAGGGAGACCTGGAGCCCCTCAGATGCAGGCGCTCGCGTTGACAGTATCTTAACATTTTACGTTACAAACTTGTTTTCAGCAAGATGACCGTTTCTGGTGGGGACAGGCGGCCGGCCCTTCATAAGGGCTTAGGGAAGGGCTTTTCCCTTCCACCTCGATTGTCCATGGAGAGTGAGAAGCTACAACCACCCTCTGTCTGGTCCTGCTGGTGGCCGTGCAGGCCGCCGATGTGGCTGAGCTCCTGTCGCTCCAGCAGCATGCACAGGGCCACACAGAGCCTCGCGTGTGTGCTGGGTCATCGATGGCCACCCTTGGGGGCCGCAGTGCCCAGAGCAGCACAGATCCGCCCGGGGCCCCCACGGCTGTGTGCGTCCCCCCAGGCTCCGTGGGTCACCAGTGGGGCTGCCATCCCGAGGGGATGCAGCCCTGAGTATTGGCCCCCTCGGGCCCCTTTTGGCCCCTGGCTGGATGCAGACCCCCCCAGGAAGGGGGGACTGAGGCCCACTGAGCCCTGCCCAGGGAAGGTCTTGTCTTCAGAGGGTCAGAGCCCTGCAGGGTCTCCAAGGAGGAGCTGGGCGAGTTCCTCAGTTGCGCGTGGTCCCTGGCCCTGTGTTTAGTTTTCTGTCACTCCTTCCTGCCTCCATATCAAACCATCTCTCTGTTCTGTGGGGTGTTTCAGCAGGTTTAGTGAATGGCATCCCTGGAAGGACTTGTTTCTTTTTTTTTTTTAAAGATTTTATTTATTTATTCGTCAGAGAAGAGGGTACAAGTAGAGGGAATGGCAGGCAGAGGGAAAAGCACATTCCCCGCAGAGCAGGGAGCCCGACGCGGGACTCAATCCCAGCACCCTGGGACCGTGCCCTGAGCCGAAGGCAGATGCTTAACGACTGAGCCACCCAGGTGTCCAGGACTTCCTCTTTTAAAAGTGGTCTTTGGACGCGAGACCTGAAGAACAAGTTCCCTGGAGGTTTGAACTCCTCCTTCTCAGGTTTCCAGTCTCCCAGAGAACTTGAGGCGCCTCCCGAGGGCACGTCCTCCCTCCTCAGCTCCCTCCATGGCTTCTGCATACCCACCCCGGCTCTGTTGGAAACCATGCACTCCAAGTTACAAGAGTCCGTGAAAATGTGAGCAGTGCAGTTTCTAGGGACTTAGGATATCCTGTTTGTTTTTTCAGTGTCCTCCAAAGTTTGTGCTAGGTAGAATTTTAAATTTGGTTAAAAATGACATATTTGAGGTACGTGGGTGGCTCAGTCCGTTAAGCATCAGGCTCTTGATTTTGGCCTGATCATGATCTCAGGGTCGTGAGCTCGAGCCCCGTGTCGGGCTCCACACTGGGCCTAGAGCCTGCTTAAGATTCTCTCTCTCCCTCTGGCCCTGCCCCTCCCTCTTCTGCCAAAATGACATCTTTTATTGACATTTTCATCAGCAAATGCTGGAGCGTGTGTATGATGCTGTTAGAGCCTCTTTATTGACAGCACATCTTCCTGATTTTCTTACACGGTTTAGACTGTTCCAGGTTGTTGGGAAAATAGACGACACGCTTGCCTTGCTCAACCTGGTAAGTCCTTCCGTTTCTTGAGAAACGAGTGTTTGTAGGCCCATCCTCTGAAGAGGGCAAGCAGGGGCTCGGCCTTTCTGGCATCTCTGGTGTACGGAGCCTGGAACCCACCACCCGCTCCTGGGCTCCTCCCACGTCCTCCCCCGGGGGCGCCCCTGACAAGATGAGCCCCCTCCCCTCCTTGTTGGGCAGCAAGGGTATAAGCTTCCTTGGGGTCTAGGAGGTAGACAGTGACATGCCTCTGGGGTGGGGCACTGCCAGAGGTCACCCTGGGCAGCAGGGCCTGGAGCCACCTGCCTGCCTTCCCCTCCTTCCCTTCCTCCTCCTTTCTAGGCCTGCATGATGACCATCACCTTCCTACCATTCACCGTAAGTACCTGCAGTTTCCTCCCCGGGGCCAGCCTGCCCTCCCCTGGGCAAGAGGACTCGAGACCCCGGATGCTTCCTCAGAAACTCTCAGACCAACTGGGTGGTCCAGGGCCCAAGCACAGAGTTACATTCACGGCTGCTTTGAGGGTGGGGCACACCTAGGGTTCCCAGGCTGGTTGAAGGAAGGGAAATCCTCCCCAAAAGGGGCCTGCAATGGCAGAGACACCAGCTTGACCTCTTACGGGCCCAACAAGGGGCATCCCGTCCATGCTCACCAACACTCGTGGCTCCTGCCTGGCCCCCCATCCCACTGCTGCCGTCCCAGGCTCCTCCCCAGCAATGCCTTCATGCCTGCCCCCACTCTCAGTTCGGACAGAACTGTGCTCTGGGTGGGCAGGGCTGTGTGTCACAGAATTCTTCAAGAATCTGATGACATTTCGGCTTTAAAGGCTTAAAGCATTCCGTGGAATTGCTCTGGTAGGGAGGGACACCCTCTGGGTCTACTGCCGGATGTGTGTGCCCGACTGAGAGCAGGGGGCTCATGAGCTCTGGGGCCCTGCAGAACCTGGTTTTGTCTTGTCTTGTGTTCTTGGCTGCAGTTTTCCTTAATGGTGACCTTCCCCGAGGTGCCTCTGGGCATCTTCTTGTTCTGTATGTGCGTGATCGCCATCGGGGCCGTGCAGGTAGGACACCCCGGCCTGCCTCCCCTCCCCCACACGCTTGTCCTCCTGCGCACACGTTGTCCACACGTGTGGCGAGAGTCGTGCTCGCGGGGCATGCTGTAGAGTGACCGCCCAGGCGCCCTGCCACGCCTGCGGCAGAAGATGCAGAGGTTCTTAGAGCCTGGGCTTCCTGTGCTGGCCTGGAGAGGGTCAGTGCCCTGTGGTGCCTGGTGGGGCAAGCCTCTCGGAGATCCCCCCACGCGGCCCAGAGAGACAGGCAGAGGCTCCTGTCCCCTGTCCGCCCCCCCAGGGCACGGCGTGGCGCGCGCGCCTCGCGCCCGTGCGGCTTCCGTCCGTGGGCGTGGGGGCAGGGGTCCCTGGCCAGAGGTCCCTGCCTCTGCCTGCAGCCTCCTCTCCCACAGGCGCTGGTCGTCGTGTATGCCTTCCACTTCCCCCACCTCCTGCACCCCCAGATAGAGCGCTCCATCCACAGGGCCCTCTACCGGCAGCATATCCTGGGCATCGTCCTCAGGGGCCCGGTGCTGTGCTTCATGGCCGCCGGCTTCTCCCTGTTCTTCTACCCTTTGGTGAGTCGGGGGGAGCAGGGAGGCGGGGAGGGGGGACTGTCTCACTGATGCCCCCGGGAGGGTGGGGCTGGGGGGAGAGAGCTGTGCAGAGGTCTCGGGGGACCACCAGCACGTGGCCTGGTGCCCAGAGTGCCAGGGAGCGCAGCCGGAGGGAGAGCCTCCCCACCACCAGCGGGACCTGTTGTGCAGGTGAACGGGCACCCCAGCCAGCCAGGCCCGCATGAAGAGACACAGGGTCCAATGGGGGCAGCCAGCGGGCCATGACCACCCACGTTTTCCCCAAGCGGGCGAAGCTTTAAGACAAGACGGGAGAGACTCAGATGCCCGGAGTCTGGGCTGTGCTTGTTCCCTGGGCGAGTAAGGGGTCTACATGAGGCCACCGGGGCAGCCGGCACTGGATGGCTTCTGGGTGGGGGTTCCAGGGGCATTGCCACGACGACAGGCAAGAGGCGCCTTAGGACGCACAGTGATAAACCGTGTGAGCAGGTGGGGAAGTGTCCTAAAGACCCACGCAGAGGGTACGAGCGGCCCAGAGAGAGCGCAGAAAGAAGATCCCACTGAGAAGTGGAGGGGGACCCAGCTGGGGTCAGAGGTCAGGATGCTTTGCACGGACAGCTCCGTGCACACCACCACCCGTGCAGGGATGCTGGAACTTGGAGCTGCGCCAGCCAGATCACAGAAATCAAGGTCGGCTAGTGCCCTCTTAGCCCTTAGCTAATTTAATAGGCACGTTGTTCTAGAACGCTTCCATTGTCCAGGAATGCAGAGAAATACAAACAAGCAACTGTCTCAGAGTCGATTGTGGAAGCTTTATGCGTGGCTCCTGCCTGGACCTGAGCTCTCGTGAAGCGCAGTGAAGTTTCAGGCCCAAAGCATCGTAACTGTGAAAAAATGGTTGATGTTGTTTTAAATGTCTAGTAAACATTTCAGGAGATGCCAAGTTTGAAACAGATAGGCTAGCAAGGGCCACTGCTGAGCATCGTTCCCTCCAGGACGGAGCTGCCTGGTGGGGGCTGAGCGGCCAAGGCGTCCAGAGGTCAGGGCCGGGCAGGTAGAGCGGGGGAAGGTGCACACTGGCGTGTCAGGTGAGGGGCAGGCCTCAGGACACTGCTTGGTCTCCTCAGTCTTGAGCATGTTTGAGGTGCAGGGGTGCTGGTGGGAAGGATGCTGCAGGGGCGCTTGGGGTCGGGCAGGGCATCCTTGGCTGTGGCCTCTAGCAGGGTCGCTCCCAGTGGACAGGGCAGGGCCAGCAGGGGGATGCATTGGACAGGAGTCAGCAGTAAGGGGCATATGGTCCGAGGATGTGTACACGTCCTGGTTTTGAGTGGGACCGTCTCTCCTGGCTGTGCGTTCCGGGTGGTCAACAGCACGTACTGGTTGGACAAAGTCAGGGCTTGAGCAATGACGAGGGTCACTGCATGGAGGATCGGAGGGACGGCTGGGGTGTGTGGTGTGGGTGGCCTGGGTGAGCCGAGCGGAGGACAAGGTAGTCTGTGCCCACTGCCAGGGCCTGGGCTGCATGGGCTGGTGTCCAGTGTGTCCTGGGGGTAACAGGTGACACAGCGTTGGGTCCATGTGTGGCTGGGCAGTGACCATGCCCTGGTGGGATGAAGGCAGTGGGGAGGGGACACCTGAGCCACCAGACTGGGAGGGTCCAAGTGTCAGTAAGTAGGTCAGGGGCCTCAGAGGATGGGGTCACTCAGGCCGTGGCGCTCTGTGATGGATCAGTCAGCTCTCCATCCACCCCGCACTCACCTGTCCATGAGCCTTCCTCCCTCTGGCCCCTTGCCTCCGCCCCCTCACCTCCTCCCCTGGAGCCCCATGCCCACCACTGCCTGTGAAACAACACGTCGGAGCTTCCTGACCCCCAAGGCCTGCCCACTGCAGCCTCCATCCTTCCAGACATTGCCTCAGCCAGACACTGTGTCGGGTCCACCTTCCAGGTCCAGCCCCTTCTCACCAGCCTGGTCCAGGCCATCCTGTCCTCCCTGTGGACTGCCTTCTTCTGATGGCGATGCCCACAGGGCCCAGGGCCTCACCTGCCAGCATCCGTTTAGATGCCCCTTGTGTCGTGTTCCCAGCCCCGCACCAGACTCAGGTCCCTCGTCTGCTGGGGCCGCCCTCCTGCCGATCCCCATCCCACAGTGGTGGGCCGCCTCCTACCTGTGTACCTGCGTCACAGCTGGGCAGCACCTCCCTCAGGGTGTGTGTTGAATGATGCTCGCGTTGCGGTCTCTTGAAACACGGGAACTTGCTCAGGGAGAGATCTGTGACGCGTCTGACGTGTCCCGCTGTCTCCCTGATTGTGCCATGCGTAGTCGTGTCCCCACATCAGCTGACCTTGAAGTACTGGCTGTGCAGGACAGAGGGCCAGGTATGGGCCTGGGCAGGCATGGGACAGGGCCGGGGTGCCGGCTGGGTGGTGTGGGGCCTTGGGGGCTCGTGCTGCCAGGGCCCAGGGCGGGATCTGCTGAGCCGCCCCAGGACCCGGCCCTGCACCCTTTCTCAAGTAACGTGGTGGACGCACAACATAAACTCCCCCCGTCCAGTCCAGAGGCATTGGCTCTGCGGCCACCACTCTACCTGCTTCTGGAATGTTCCCATCACCGCAACAAAAACCCCACCCCCGTGAGCAGTCTCCACCCCCCACCACACCCTGCTCCCTGGAAAACCCCTGATCTACTTCCTGTCTCTCTGGGTAATTAGTGTAAATGGAATCCTACAACGTGAGGTTTTTATGTCGGGCTTCTTTCATTCAGCATAATGTTTTCGAGTTTGTTCATGTGGTAGCAGGAGTCAGGAATCCACCCTCCCGTTGGACAGTCATGGGAAGGACCGCAGTTTGCTTAGCCACTGGTCCATCCACGGACACTGGGGTGGTGCTTCCCTGTCCCAGCTGCTGGGCATGATGCTGCCGTGAACACGGGGGTGCCGGCATCTCATCGAGACCCTGCTCTCCGTTCCCCGGGGAACACACCCAGACGTGGAATGGCTGGGCCGTGGGCTCATTCTGTGCCTAGTGTTTTGAGGACCCTCCGCGGTGTCTTCCACGGCGGCTGCGCCCCACGTCCTCGCCGAGGCTTGTCGGTCCCGCTCCTTTAAGAGCAGCGGTCCTGCGGGGGGTGGGGTGGGGTCTGCCCGTGGTTTTGACCCGCATTTCCCTGATGTTGGTGATGCTCAGCACCTTTCCCCGTGCGGGTCGGCCACTGTGTATCTTCTTCAGAGAAATGTCTGCCCACCTTGGCTGGGTGTTGTGTCTTTGCTGTGGAGGTGTTTTCCGCCTGCCCCGGGTACCAGACCCTCATCAGCTGTGCGGCCTGCTGGTATTTTCCCACATTCTGTGAGCTGCCTTTTCATTCCTCTGGAAATACTCTGACGCACAAAAGTTTTTCAGCTCGATGAGGTAGAAGTCACATGTGCTTTCTTCTGTTGCTGGGGCTGCCGCCCCTTTGGAGCGGATGGCTTCTGGGTGGCATTCCGGGCACCGCATCGCCTCCTGACATGTCCTGGGTCTCACGCAGTCGTACCTGCTGATGGCAACGGTCATCTTCCTTCCCTACGTCAGCAAGGCCGCCAGCTGGTGCAAGGGCAGGCTTGTGGGTAGGTGCTCGGGCAGGCTGGTGTGTGGGGCCTCGGCACTGCTCCCTAAGGCCTGTGGAGTGTGGGAAGGGCCCAGGCACCCATGACAGCCAGGTGTCCCTGCGGAGTCCCCTCCCCTGGCCAGCTTCTCCCTCCTCGCGTCCACAGGCCCCCAAGAGCCCCCAGCTCACAGCGTGGAACCCTTCACTTTTGACCTGCATGAACCTCTCAGCAAGGAGCGGGTGGAGGCCTTCAGCGACGGGGTCTACGCCATTGTCGCCACACTCCTCATTCTGGACATCTGGTAAGGACCCAGGCTTGAGGGAGGGGGTCCACGGCCTGCCTCTCGTCATCCAGCCCTACAGAGGCAGGTGCCGAGGTCTCCTGATGCCAACCTGGACAGAGCTCCCCAGAGCTCAGGGTCTCCTGTGCTGAAGGGGGGGCATCAGCGGTCACTCCTCCCTTCCCCAAGCTGGGTAGATGGGTGTGGACGGGCCTTGCCTCAGGCCCCCCCTCCCCCGCCCCCCCCGCCCCCCCCCCCCCGTTTACCCTCCCATCCCTCCCGCCCCCCCAGCCTCTTCCCCTTCTCCCCCAGGACGCCCCCTCCCCCCCAGGCCTCCCTGCCTCCCTTCCCCTGCATCCTCCCTTCTGCTCAGTTTTCCCTTCACTCTGCGCTCTTCTGCTTCACCTGATCTACCTCCTCTCTGTCAAAGTTCTCATTTTAGTTACTGCATTTTTATTTTTAGGTGTTTCATCTGCTTTTTTTCTTCATATTTTCCATTCTTTTTTAGAGCCTCTTGTTTCTTTGATCCTATTTCAGTACGCTTACTTTGTCGGACAGGTTACACCATTTTGATTTTACATTTTTGTATCTGATGGTCTAAAGTGTTAGTTCTCCTAATTCTCTCTTGATAGCTTTTTCCTACTGCAATTTGTAAATTTTTAAAATTTGGGAGCAAACGTTCATTGGTGCCGATCTCGGAGGCCTAAACCTAAGGTTCCAGAATGGTGCGGCTTTGCTTCTGCCACTAGGGCCCAGCTGCAAGGAGCAGTGGAGGCTGGGGGCCTCTGCCCGAAGCCACAGCCCCAGCACCTGGGGGCATTTGCCCCTACCTTCAGACTCTTGCAGCCCTCCCTACGTGCCCCCCCCAGACACAGGGGTAGCCCACCATTGTGAGCTGAGAGGTGTCCCAGGTGCTTCCCCCCAGCCTGGGATCAGGGGTGGGCTCCCTGGGCCGTGCAGTCGGGGGCATCCACCCGGGGAGAACCCCGAGATGTGTCTTAGAGTTGCTCCTTCCAGCAACGTTCGGCCCAGCAACCTGAGAACCACAGAGGCTGACCGCGCCCCCGTCTGCAGGACCACCGCCCAAGTGGATGGGCAGCTGCGGGGGGAGTGGACAGACCTCACGCGCACCCAGCTGTGGAGGCCAGGGGGGCTGAGGGGACAGTGCTGCCCACCCGGCCTGCACAGAGACAGGACGCCGGGACATCTGCGCTTCAGAGGCACAACACGGAATTGCTTGGTGTCTGTGTACTGACCACAGCTTTCCATGTCGTTCTCTGAAACGCACGTGTGCTCGTCCAGGCTGGGATGGGGTGGGGGTGCAGCCCTGACCCGACGCCCCGCGTCAAGGCTGTGACAGATGCTGTGTGTTGACCGTCCTCAGCGAGGACAACGTCCCGGACTCCAAGGACGTCAAGGAGAAGTTCCACGGCAGCCTGGTGGCAGCGCTGAGCGAGTATGGGCCGCACTTCCTGGCCTACTTCGGCTCCTTCGCCACCGTGGGCCTGCTTTGGTTTGCCCACCACTCGCTCTTCCTGCACATCCGCAAGACCACGCAGTCCATGGGGCTGCTCAACACGCTCTCACTGGCCTTCGTGGGCGGCCTCCCTCTGGCCTACCAGCAGACCTCGGCCTTCGCCCAGCAGCCCCACCAGGAGCTCGAGAGCGTGCGCGTCAGCTGTGCCATCATCTTCTTCGCCAGCATCTTCCAGTTTGCCATCTGGACCACGGCCCTGCTGCACGAGGGGGAGACGCTGCAGCCCTCAGCACGCTTCGGGGGCCACGAGCACGCGTTCATGTTTGCCAAGCTCGCGCTGTACCCCTGCGTCAGCCTGCTGGCCTTCGCCTCCACCTGCTTCCTGAGCCGGTTCAGCGCGGCCATCTTCCACCTCACCCAGATCACGGTGCCCTTCGCCTTCCTGCTGCTTCGCCTCCTCGTACGCCTGGCCCTGGCCCCCCTGCGTGCCCTGCGGGGCCTCAGCCTGCCAGCACACCGGAGCGAGGACGACGCACGCGCCCCGCTCCTGCCTTCTGCCCACTAGCTCCGGGTGCCCGCCTGCCCTGGCCCGCCCCGGCCCGCCCCAGCCCGTTTGGTTCTTATTTCCATCGTTCTGCTCTAGAGCCCTAGCGAGGGTTTCTGCTTCTGCAGACAGTGCGACAGGAGCCTGGCGTCTGCGTGTCCGTCTCTGTCCTGGGCCCACATTCTCTATCTTCGTGAAGCCGAGCCGCGCGGGTGCTCGAGCTCCCGCTGGGAGCCCACGGCGTCAGCCCTGAGCGGGGCATGGGTCCCCAGGCACAGAGGAGATGGCAGGCCAGCAATGCCCACACTGTATTTGTCCTGGACATAAATTAGGCTTACATTCAGGTAGTGACAAGGTACATAAAGGCCTGGGTGCCAAGCCCACACTGCCCCCTCTGGGCACACAGACTCACTTAAATACAGGATAGACAGCTACAGGCCAGAACCAGCGCCAAGGCCTGCAAAGCAAACACTAATTGCACCACCAGGGACATCACGGTGGACACACACTTGTGTGCTGAGGGCACAGGATAGGAGTGTCCCGTCACAAATGGCCACAACAGTGCATTTGTGCAGTTTGGGCAGAAGCTTGGGGGACACGGGGCTGGCAGGGCGGAGCCTGGCCAGACGGCACCGACAGCAAAGAGCCAGGACAAGTGGAGAGACGTGGTTCCTGGGCCTCGCTGGGGGGCTCTGGAGACTCCCCAGACCGACCAGGGGCCTGTCTGAGCTCAGTGTGGTGGGGGCCTGGGCGTCTGGTCAGCCCGACAGGTGCTGGGAATGGGCATGCTGATTGTTCACAAACAGGTGATTAAAGCTGGCTCCTCCCCACGTCACACCTTGTAAACTTCCTCTGGGCCTCCCAGCCCAGGCTTCCATGGGTTTGCTTCTGGTCCCTTCCGGGCACGCTCTGCCCCACCCCTGTGAGGGCCCAGTTCCCCTCCTGCTCCATCGTCAGGATGCTGGCCAAGCCCACCTGGCCTCGGGCCCCTCTGACCCCCAGGTGCAGCCTAAGCAGCTCCTCCACAGTGGTGAGCCCAGCAGAGAAGGCACCTTTCCCCCAGGACAGGTGGCAGGTGCCCCCCACCCAGCCCTCAGTGGGACAGTCGGTCGGGAGACCTGCTGGCTGGGGCATTCGGGGTCTGTACTGGGCACATTCTCTTAGGAGCATCTGGGGGGTTGGCCCAGAGTTCAGTGCTGCCCAGCTCAACAGGCTCAGAGATGGTGCAGGACACAAAGGGAGAAGTGCCTGCCACGCACGATGGTGGCCTGGACCCCAGGGGGCGGGACGATTGGCCAGCCAAAGCCCCGCGCCCACCCTGTTGCTGGATCGGAGGCCAGGGGGGGAAGCACCTGCCACCCACCCCGCAGCTTCCGTGTGGCACAGGGGTGAGGGGGAGACGCCCCCAGTCAAAGCTGCAGGCAAGTCCATCCATCACGGGTTGGCGGCGGCTGCTGCTGGACAGGCACGCTGCTCCAGGGCCCTCCTCTACTTGGGGTCCCCTTCAGGGACAGGCACCCCATCTGCTCGGGCATCCTTGGGGGTCCCTGCCTTCCTGGGCTTCTGCTTGGTCTTCCTGAGCATGTGAACCTGTCCCAGGACAGGGCAGGTCAAAGGGCTGGGTGATATTGCAGGCACGGTGGCAGCCCACTTGACAGAAGGGGTGCGGGGTGGTTCAGCCTGTGGGCCCCTCCCGTCGCGTACCCAGGGGGCTGTTGGGGAAGAACGGGCTGCAGCAGGCTCTCAGGCCCCACCCCGCTCACCCCGTGTGGTACCTTGGGGCCCGCAGCCGAGATGATCATGTGCCCAGGAGCCTGGATCCAGGGCTCTCCATCCACCTGCACAGGTGTGGCCTTGAGGAGAGTGACGCGGAAGTAGGAGCCCTGGGCGATGCGAATGCCAGAGCGCAGCCCACCCTGGACTTGGCCCTGATAGAGGGGGAGGGCCGGCCGGGTTCAGCGGGCTGCGGTCCCACGCCGCGGGCCCATCCCCACCTGCCCACACTCACCATGTGCATGACGCCGGTCACCCCCACCACCTCTAGCAGCCCGTCATCCATGCGTGGCTTCTCGAACCTTGAGTCACTGTCGGAGCCCCACAGATCGGCCCCCGAGCCCCAGCTGCACCGAGGGAAGGGCGCACAGGTAAGTGGGCAGGCGGACCAGGGCTTCGAGCCCCACCTGAGGCCAGAGCCCCCTGGAGCCCCACCCACTGGCACCTGGGGATGTTGATGAAGATGAGACCCTCGATACTTGGCAGCTCTACTTCCTGCTGCTCCACCTGCAGCCGGATCTCTTTGTGCAAGCCGCGGGAGTGGCTGATCTTCTGCAGCCCGACTCGCACATACACACCCTTGTTGTGGAACCTGCAGGAGAGGTGTGCGCCTACTGTCGAGGTGGAGCCCTTGCTCTAAGACAATCCCCCAAGTTCCAGTCCCATCCACCAATTCCTGCTGGTGAGTCCCCAGGAAGTACGCTGTCACCAGGGGGCAGCCCTGCTGTCCAGAGCGGTCCCAAGCCCCCCTCCTTGATCTTCCGGCACCTGCTCGTGAACTTGCCAGGCTCCTCCTCCCGTGCCTGGTGGAAGTCCAGGCTTAGCTCTGCGTCGATGCCAATCCCACAGTAGTTACTCATCTGCACAATCTAGAGACAAGACACGTTCTCCCATGACCCTGGTCAGCCCCCACCAGGTCCTTCCCGCGTCCCCCAAGCTGGGTCCAGCCTCCTCATCTCCAACCCAACTCTGCCGCCATTGTCAGAGCTGCTTCTGTTCTGTAATTGCCCTTCACCCAGCAGGAGGCAAGCATCTGAGCCAGCCAGCCTGGGATGTCCCCAGCAAGCCACGGCTGACAGTGCCTCGGCTTCCCCATAAAGGGGGTGGCCCTGGTACCTACACCAGGTGGTGGCCGGGACACGCACAAATCCCCGGACAGAAGTGTGGAGTTGCCTGTGGGGGGCTCCCTGGTACCTTGGGGGGCTCCACGTCTGCCACGCTGTTCTCTGCACCGCCAGTGTCGTGAGCATCCAGCAGAATGGTCCAGCGGTCCATGAGCACAGCGTCAGCCTCATCCACGGACACCAGCACGGAGAACGGGTCCTCGCCACTGTAGCCCGCCCCCCAGCGGAGGACCCGGCCAAGGTCATTCCCTGGGACAGCGACAAGCGAAACAGACTCTCCACACCCACCGACCTGCCCGCCCCCCCCGCCCCAGGCCTGTCCCCCGACCTGCTGGCTGACCCCACCTGTGCCCAGCGGCAAGATGGCCACGGAAGGCTCCGGGCAGGCCAGACGGTGCCGCATCTCCTCCAGGGCGGCAAGCACCCAGCCCACGGTGCCGTCCCCCCCGCACACCAGCACCCGGAAGCAGGGCACCTGAGAGAACACGTGGAACCTGGCGAGAGGCGAACGGGGGGCTCTGTACGCATGCAAGCCAGTGGCAGCACCCGAACCCCACGCAGAACGGCCTGGACGCGTCTGTTCCCTCCAGCCTCTCGACAGCCGCGTGCAAGCACCCCCTGAGGCTCGTCGGGCTGAGCGGCACAGCGGGCACCCCCACACTCACCCGGGAAGAGGCCCCCCGTTGGTCAGTTCAAAGACCTGGTGAGGGTTCAGCAGCTTCCGAAAACTACAGAGCAGGTCACGGCCCTTGAGGCCTCCACTCTTGGGGTTCACAAACACGAGGAGGGGGGAGGAGTCTGGGGGCAGCTTCGTGTGCTGACAGATGGGGGGCTGGGTTAGTGCAGGTTCTCAAGGCCACCCCACGGGGGCAGTGACAAGTCCTCCAACCCTGAGCCCACACAGCCCGAGCCTACCTGGGGCCAGCCCCCCGCCCGAGGAAGGCACACATGGGGCCCAGGGGGGCTACCTGGCCACCCCCACCTTGCCACTGACCACTCAAGGCATCCCCCGCCCCCAGCAGAGGAGGCACTCACAGCCGTTAGCCAACGGGGCAGAGATGAGGCCGGCCGGCCTGGAGCTCTGAGCAAACGGGCCACGCCACCATCCACTGCGACCCTCGTGGCCAGACCGTGCCCACTACCTGACCCGTGCAGCCCAGATGCCAAGGCTGGACACCCACACGGGATTCCAGCTGCCCCTCCTGCACTCCTCAGGGCCCCTGCCCACCCACACCGCAGCGAGCAGGAGCAACTGGGCTCAGAGTGGCCCCACGCCTCCCCTGGCAGAAGTCGTCCATCTCCCAAGAGCCCTCAAAACGCGGTGCCCAGAGAGAGCAGGCAGGGGGCTCAGGCCCCCACAATGGTGAGGATGCTGGGGTGCCCTGGGGTCCCATGGTGGGAGGTGCTCGGTAACAGGCACAAGCTCAGCAGCAGCTCAAGACCAAGGACACCCTTGGGGTGACATGTGACCCACGGGGCAGAGCTCCTGCAGTCATCCCTCACCTGCTCACCCCAAAGCAGGTAGCTGCCAGGAGAGAAAAAGGGCATGTCGGCACCGCCCACCCAGCTCTGCCAACAGGGCCAGCTGCCAGGGGCCCTGACCTGCCCGGGGCTGCATCCTCATCAGGACAGCAGGAGGGCACCCGGCTCAGGATGGGAGCGGGCGGCCAGGCCCAGGCGTCGCCCACCCGCTCACAATGAACTCATCTACTCTAATTCTGCTTCACCTGGACAGGGGCCCGGGGTCAGGGACAGGTAGTCACAGACAGCTCTGGTGAAACCTTGGGGGCCAGCAGGGCTGAAGACCAGAGACTGCTGGCAAAGACATGGGAGTGTAGGGCAGGACCTGGGGCTCTGGCCCCTCACCCTGCCCTGACCTGCCTGGTGTCCACCTGGCCCTGCGCTCGCCCCCAGCTCAGACTTCCAGATGCTGTCCGAAGTCAGGGAGCCCCACCTCCTGGCCAGAGGTGGCCCAGGCCTCCCAAGCAGGGGGAGTGGGGCCAGGTCCCAGTGGCCCTTGGCCCTCCACCTGTCAGCCATGGTGCAGGCCTGTCACCCCCGGACCTCGGGCTCCTCCCCTGCTGTGAGCTGTGTCCCTGACGGCACCCACTCACCAACACATCTGGCAGCACCAGGGCGGTCAGCGGCCGGCCGTGCACAGCTGTGTCCCTGACCAGCATGTACAGTCGCTCAGCCTCTGTGAAGGAGGCCACGTCCAGCACCACTGCACCTGCAGCAAAGGGGCTGTAAGCTCAGACCGCAGCCTCCCCTCATCCCACTGCCAGAAGGGACCCTGGGTCTGGCTGTCCGATGGCATCCACAGGACGCAGGCCCACCGTCCCTGTGGAGCCTTTAAGGATGGCCAAGGTCAGAGACAGGATATGGAGGCGGATGGAAGAGGGCGGTGTGGCTGGGCACACCCTCATCCCTGAGGCCCCTGGGGGGCGAGGAAAGCTCCCACAAGAACGGAGGACACTGATGACTGCTGGGGACCCACAGAAGGGACTGGGGCTCATGGGAATGTCCTCCCACTTCTGGGTAGATCTGAAGTCTCCCATGAAAAAAAGATGCAAACCCAAGGGCAGAACAGGTTTTGCAGAAAAGTCCTCTGCAACTCAGTCACATTTTAGTAAAAGCACGACAGCCGTAAGCCAGGAAAAAAACCAGAAATGGGTCCCTCACACGGGGTTCCACCATAAAAAGGTCAGGTCCTCAACAAAATGGAACAGTGAACACGAAGGCAAGAAGGGCAGGCCTTTCCACCTAACTCCAGGGAACGACCTTTGGCCCAATCTGATCGCGGCCCAGGGCGGCGGCTCACCTTGGGAGGAGTAGACGTGGCTCACGGACACCAGGCCAGCTGCAACGACAGGCTGCCGTCAGGGGAGGCAAGCGGTCTGGGCACGGCCTTCCCCCCACCTCCAGCTGCCACTGTTTGTAGCTGGGCCCACAACCCAGCAGGGGCAGCTCCCCCAACCCGTCCCTCCCCAGCCCAGAGCCAAGAGCAGAAAAGGCAAAGGCTAGACCTCAGGAGTCTCAGAAGCCCCTCAGAGGAGGTGAGGACACAGACCCACTGAGGGGCAGTTGGCAAAGGCTCAGACACGGTGGCGGGGGAGGAGGGGAGCAGGAGAACCAGGCCCCGCGGCCTGCTCTCAGAAGCCCTCCCTTCCTCTCCCTGCTGCCAGGTCAGCCAGGCCATCACACCTTTGGTGGCTGCAGCCTCCTCCAGCAGGCTGCCATACTCCTGGGCAGACAGGCCGGGAGGCAGGCCAGCAACATACAGGGAGACGTGCGGGACCACAACTCTGCTCTCAGCCACGTAGAACCGCACCTGGGTCATCTGCCGCAGGGACGTCTGTGGGGAAGCAGAACACTGAGCAGAGCACTCAGGGAGGGCCCCGCAGCGCCCGGCCCCTCCACCCTCCTCATCCAGAAAAACTTCCCAGGCTGAACCACACCAAGATGGAAAGGGAAATACAGGCTTCCTCCCTTGGCACAAACTCCTCAACTGCCCTCGGGGAGCTCCGGGGGGTGGGGTCTGTGGCTCACGACCCCACCTTCTGGGGAAAAGGTGGCGTTAGCAAGCCGAGACCCGCCAGGCCCAGGAGCACTGGCACTGCCAGCCAGGAGGGACGCGGTGTCCTGGGGACAGGCTCCCTCACTAGGAGGCAGCGGCCACGGCCAAAGGCTGGTGGCTCTGCAGGGACCAGCATTCACACCCAATGACCTGCCGGATGTCACGAAGCCGGGCGAGCAAGGGCTCTTCGTCCTCCAGCACCGTCCGCTGGACTGCAAGAACGAAAGGCAAGGTCCGTGGGCACCAGGTGCCATGCCCACCTCTGCTGCCCGCAGACCTCAGGGCGCCCGGGGGGGCAGATCAGGGGACATCGACCGCGGGCTACCACTCACCTTGCCTGCTACCCATGAGCACCTCCACCAGCTGGAAGCTCTCAGGACCCTCGGCCTGTGGGGGGCAGAGTTTGAGGCATCGGGCCTGGACCCGTGACTCGCCCAGGACTCCCCCCAGGCCGGCTGGGACCACAGCAGCATACACACCTGACGTCCGAGCAGTGGGAGAACCTCCAGCACCACAGTCCGGGCAGTGCTCTGCGGGGTCACACGGATGGACACGTAGGCCACACCCACCCTGCAGGGAACAATCTCAGGAGCTTGGGTCACATGGCCCCCACCCCTCCCAACTCCCGCTGGCAGACCCTGGGCCTTGGGCCTGGGTCTCACTTGAGCCAGGCAGGGTAGATCCTCAGGACTTCCTGGGTGTGGGGCAGAGCGCGGATGATCCAGGCCTCGGGTGCAGCCTCTCGGGATCCAGGGCCTCTGCTGTCCTCCCCCTCTGCACTCCCACCGGCCCGGGTCTTGCCCCGTGCCCCAGGGTCCGCAGCGTGGACAGGTAGGGGGAGTGCCTGCAGCTCAAAGTCTCGAGGGTCCTCCATGACGTAGTAAGCCCGGAGAGCCGCCTCCTGCGGGGGGGGGGCCACATGTGGACAGGAGCCAGGGCCAGGCTGGATGCCACAAAGCACCCCCAGGAATGGGCCCTGCCTCAGCCCCTGTGGGCGCTCTCTCATACCAGCACCTCCTCGCTCCTGGCCAGGCGGGGGACAGTGATGACTCGAAAGTGGTTTCTCTGCAGAGCATCGTTGCCGTCAAAGATCTTCAGGGTCTGTTTGCCTGGGCCAGAGAAGTGGGTATGGATCCATGGAGTGGGGTACAGGCTGGGGACAGGACAGGGCATGGGGTGAGGGATGGGAATGGGGACAGGGGGCACAAGGGACAGGATGGGTGGACAGGGCGGCGGGCCAGGCAACAGCTAAGAGGCACTTACTGGACTCCGGGGCCAGCACCTCTCTGCCCAGGCCAGCAGGGCTACTTCCGTCCACACCATCGTCCCCCTCACCTGCAGGAGGGGCACAGCTGACCTCGTACTCGGGGCCTACCCCCAGCCCCCACGCCTGGCCCCAGCACAGCCCTTCACGCACCTGGCTCTGGGGCCGCGCTCTCAAAGATGCGGAAACAGTGCATTTTACTGAAGTTTCGGGACAGCAGGCGCACGCACGCAGGGGGCAGGACCATGGTGCGCAAGCGCCCAAACGTGCACTCCGGGGCGAGCGCCGCTGAGCAGACTGAGTGGGCCTGGAGATGGGGGCAGGGACTCGCCCTCAGCCACTCCGCAGGGGCCCACGCTGGACTGATGGCCCCTAACCAGGCCACGACAGGGCGCACTGGCGGGCGGCACCACGCTCAGACCAGAAGGATCCCCGACTCTGTACAACGGGGACCATCCCCCGCCCCGACAGAGTGCGATGCAGACGGGTGAGAGTGGAAGGACGCACCACACCTGCTCCCAGGACCTCCATCCTGCTTTCCAAAGGGTTAGTACGTCCACGCCGCCCCACCCCCAAGGACCGTGACACCCCGCCTCCCAGGAACCCCACCGCCCCATTCCGCCCCCTCAGGACACGCCCCCCCAAAGCCCCTCCTGCACGCCGCGCCACCCCCGCCCCCAGGACCCCCGCCCCCCGCCCCCCCGCAAAGCCCCTCCTGCACGCCGCACCACCCCCGCCCCCAGGACCCCCGCCCCCCGCAAAGCCCCACCTGCATGCCGCACCACTCGCAGCGCACGCCCGCCAGGACGTCGGAGGAGCCGCACGTCTTCCTGCAGACCTCGCAGCGGGCACCGGAGGGCAGGTTCCCCTCCCGCCAGTGGTGGTGGTGCGTGTCCTGCGGAGGGGGCCGTCGCCGGTGGCTCAGCCAGCCCCCCAGCACGCCCCTCCCCCGCCTTCCCCCCCAAGGCGTCTGGCCCTGTGCACTCACATGGTCCCGGTGCCCGTCCCCGTGGCACTGGCGGCAGTCGCTGCAGGCGAAGGGCACACAGTCGGGGTGAACGTGCAGCTCACACACTGGGGGGCGGGCAGGGTTAAGGGCCTCTCGCCGCTCCCCACAGCCCTGCCCCCTTCTCTCGGGCATCTCTGCCAAGGCCGGCCAGTCCTGGCCACACTTCCTTGATCCTTCCTGGGGTGGGAGCTCTCAGGAGGGGAGTCCCCCTCTCGGAGGACGGGAGCCGGCTTCTCCTCCTGTCTCCCTGCGTGGCCCCCTGCACCTGCTTCCCTGTGAGGGCAGCTCGGGATCCACAAGCACGCCCCCCCATCAGTGCCCAGGGCACCACCCCACCTCCTGCCCAGCTGCCTGGCCACAGCGAGGTGTGGGCCACCCTGGGCAGCAGAGATCAGGCCCCTGGTGAGTGGTGCAGGATGGGGGGGGGGCGGGGGGGCTCAGCAGTACCTTCACAGCGGAGTGCAGGGGCCTCCAGGGTCTTGCGGCACACGGCGCAGAACTTGCGCTTGTAGAGACCCCGCGGGCCAAAGCAGTGGGCCACGGGGACCTGCAGGGAGCAGAGCTCCCCCTCAGCCTGGGGCCTACCTGCCAGCGCCCATCCAGGGCCAGGAGGCCTCATCCTCTACACCCTCAACAGCTCCCACTGCCACCCACACCCCCTGCCTGACCCCTGCGGTCCCCCTAAATCCTCGCCCGCCCCTCTGTGCCTCCTAGGGGTCCTGCCGAACTGCCCAGTCTCCTGAGTCCTTGCAGGACCAAGGCCAGCTGTGATCTCAGGCAGCCCTTTCTGCAGGGAACACCCGGGCTGGTTCTGCCCATAGCCTGATTCAGCTGTGCAGTCCAGGAAGCTTGGGCACCAGCAGCTTCCTCCAGGCCTGTTCCCCTGCCCTCAGGACACATCTGGGGCAAGCTGGACCAAGCACACAGGGACAGAGGCCCACCAACAGGCAGGATGAGCGGTGCTGGGTGCCAGGGACCCCCGAGGAGGAGTGGTCAGAACCAGTGGGAAGTGAGGCCCGCTGCTGTCCTGGGAGGGGTTCACATCCTGGGGACCCAACGCAGCACAATGGAACACTCCCACCCCATCCAACCAGCCAGCCTCTCAGCCCAGGACCTGCCGCAAGAGCCAGCTTCCCCAAGCCCTCTGCCCACACTGCATACGCACCCGGACCAGGCTGGGGGCCACACCCGCACAGGGGGTCTTCACGTGCTTCAGGCACTTCTCGTGGGACATGAAGTTGCAGACTGTGGAATGAGAGTTGCATGAGTTGGCCCCTGTCCAACCCCAGGCTTTGGCCAACAGAACCACCAGGGGCCATGGCCAGGTGCCAGCATTCTGACAGGGCAGTGCACCCCTCACAGTGGGCCTGCTCTGCCAGAGCTGGAGGGGAGTCAGCATGGGGTGAGTCGCTGCAGCTCCCCCCCCAGCTCCGACCCAGCATGCGCAATGGAGAAAGTGACTCCACCGTCTCCACCGTTGTGGGGGCAGAGGGAGGGCATGGTCACAGCCTCCCTCCACAGAAGCGCCAGGGACACCCTGATCCTCTGCCCCACGCCACCTCTCATCCCGAGAGCCCAGAGTGGGGATGATGCTGTGTCCTAGAGTCTTGAGAGTGGCCCCTGCCCCTTGCACACAGGGAAACACTCCAACCTGTTGGCCCTGAGGTGCAGGCAGGTAAGTGGGCATCTCCCCTGAGACCAGCTTCACCAAGAACATCCTTCCCTCACTCCCCCACAACTCGAAAGACCCCTAACTAGCCCTCCCGTGTGGTGTGCCTGCTGAGACCAGGGCCAGTCTGTAATGGGCCAGGGCCCCCGAGGCAGGCAGGGTGGCCAGCCCAGGGATGGGTGCACCTGCCCCCACCCAGAGGGGTAGACAGCCCAGAGGCTCTTTAGGCAGTGAGCACTCAGACGTACGCTGTGCCCGTGAGGCCACTAAGAAGGGGGCCCAGAGACGAACAGGATGGGAGGAGGAGCACAAGAGGAAGCAGCCTCTGGCAGCACAGACAGCAGTGAGTGGGCCTGGGGAGGGGGCGGGGGGCCTGGGGTGGGGTGGGTTAGACAAGGCAGCAAGAAGCTGGGAAGTGGGCAGGGGGCAGAAGAACTTACTCTCCAACACAGCCCTTGGTGAAAAGTGTGACCGGGGGGCCTTGAGGCAGCCCCTTCCACCCACTGCAGCCCTTCCCACGCGTCCCTAGGAGAAGGCAGGCCGGTCCTCCACAGGCTAGCAAGAACAGCCTGAGACCTTGCTTCAGAAAAACTACTGTAGGCTGGAGTCACATGGAAGCAGCAGGGAGGCAGAGAGGAAGGGTGAGCACTCCAGCTAGCTTCCCCTTCAGGGTACCCAGACTAGCTCTGTCCCGGAAGGCAGCAGCGGCGGGCAGGTGGCACCCAGCTCCTCTGGCCCACGGAGATAGGGCCCGATCACCCCACATCCCACATCCTGGGTACTCCCAGGCAAGGGAGGAGGCTCTTCCTCCCACACCCTTGTCAGGCCCCTCTGCTTGCCAAGATTACCACCCCTTCTCCATGGAGGTGGAGAGAAGGTCCATACAGCTGCCCAGGGATGGCCTCCACGTCATCCCCCAAGCCCAGCCTCTTTACATGAGCTGCTTCGCCCTTTAGACCTACAGCCCCACCTGCAGGAGGTCACCGCAGTGAGGAGGACCTGGAGTCCAGCCTCAGACCTGGAGCTCTGCCTTCACCACCCCTCACCTGTGCGGGGATCCTGGGTCCAGCCTCAGACCTGGAGCCCTGCCTTCACCACCCCTCACCTGTGCGGGGATCCTGGGTCCAGCCTCAGACCTGGAGCCTTGCCTTCACCACCTCTCACCTGTGCGGGGATCCTGGGTCTAGCCTCAGGCCTAAAGCTGACTCAGCCTGCACAAGCACTTCTCCCTGCTCAGGTGAGCCTCTTGGCATGGGAGGCGGTAAGAAAGGGCAGTGTTTCTGATATGAGAGAATCTAGGGGTGACTCCCCCCAGGCCACCTGGTGCAGCACTAGGGAGTCAGATCAAGCATGCCATTTTTTTTTTTTTGGCAGAAGGCATCCTGCATGAAGGGCCCAGCCTCCTCCACCCAGACCTGGTCAAGCCTTCTCTGTGAACTTTGGCGTTAAGTGGTCCCTCTGTCCCCAGAGACAAAAGCCTGTCTCCCCAAGTGGAAAAAAGGCTCCCCACATGCCACCTTCCACATCCCTGGGCAGCTCTGGTCCCCAGGGCCCACCCACCTGTCCTGCCAGAGGGAGCAGACTACAAGAGAGCAGACCTTGGAAGCCTGCACCCTCGATGTCCAATGAGCCAGAGGAGGCAAGGCCTCCCCGCCCGGCCAGCCAGCTTGGCAGCTAGTTGGGAGCCCTGTTGGGGCACGCCGCACTTGGCCCTGTGGGCAGCAGTGTGCATGCAGGGCAAAAAAGGCCCAGCACTAGGGTACAGGAACCAGTGGCCCAGACCAGCCCTGCCTGACCACACTGCTGCCCCTTGCTGCCCCAGCTGCTGGACTGAGGAGCCCAGACAAGGACCACCTGCTCAGGGTGGGCTGGACTCATCCCCCAGTCACTGCACCTGCCCCACGCCGCCCACAGTGCTCTTCCGCCATTGAATCCCAACCCCAGTGAGGGAGCACAGGGAGCAGTTTTTTCCTGCGGCCCACAGTCCCGGGGGAAGCCACCTGGTGCCCCCGAGCCCCTGGAAGAGCCAGTCCTTATCACCTCCCTGGAGAGGGTCCGAGGCCAGCACACTCCTGCCCCGTGGGGCAGGCGGTTCTGTCCTGAGGGGGCCATTGCTGGGAGTGCAGAGGTCAGAGGTGAGGAGCCCATTCTGGGCCAGGGGCTGGGTCTGTGATGGGGTCGCGGGCGCTCACCGTCGCACAGGAAGCCGGCCAACCCCCAGATGAAGTCGGAGCAGAGGTGGCAGAAGGTGGGCTTGGTGAGCGTCACCTTCCGGAAGCTGTGGCCAGACGCGGCGGGGCCTGGGGGCCTGGCGCCCGCCCGCTCCGGACCAGACCCCGGGCCCGGCCCCGGCCCCGGCCCCGGCCGCGCGCGGCCTCTGCCGCCTAGCTCGGGGCTGGAGGCCGGGCTGCCCGGGCGCGGCGAGCTACCGCCGAGCCAGGCACGGGCCCGGGGCTCGGCCGCCGCCGCCATCCCTGCCCGGGCGGCCCGAGCCCCGGCGGCGGGCGAGAGCCGGGTCCGCGCTGCGGGTGAGAGGGACCTCCGCCTCCCCGGCGACCCCGCGGTCCGCGCCGGGCTTCCGACTGCGCCCGCCGCCACTGCGCAGGCGCGCGCTCGGGGGCGGAGGCCGAGCAGCCGGGGGGCGGGGCCCGGGCGGGGCCTTCTGGGGCGGGGCTTGGAGGGGCGGGGCCTGGGGCGGGGCGGAGGTGGGAGGCCGGTGGGCAGGCCTGCGGAGCCGGGGTCCGAGCCCGGGCCGAGTCGGGTGCCGCCTGGGGAGGTCTGGAGGGCAGGGGGGTGGGTCTGGCGTCCGGCCGACAGCCTGCGCCGGGAATCGCGACCGGGCTCCCCGCACGCAGCTTCCCGCCGACGCCGGCGCAAGGCGCTTGCACCTGCGGCGCCCAGACCCGCGCCTGCGCAGACGGACACCTCCCACGCGACACGCCGATCCCGCGGGTGGTTCGTGGTTGCGCGGGGAGGCCCTGCGAGCATGCGGCACATCCCAGGGGCCCGGGGCGGAGTCGGGAACCAAGGCCCGCCTCCCCTTCAGGCCCCGGCCGTGCGTAGAAGGCCGGCTGCGCTGTCTTCGCGCGCGTGGGCCCTGCCCTGCCCCGAACACCCGCAGAGCCGCCCCTGTCCTCACCACGGATGAGGAAGCCACGAGGGTCCGGGTCAGCGGTAGCAGGGAGCTCTCCCTCCCCACGCCGACGTTGCTGCCCCGCGTGTTCGCAGATGGTGCCCTCTCCCATCAGCTCTCTGTGGGAAGCCCGAGGGGCCAGCGTCCCTCCCTCCGGGTCGTGGCCTTGTGTTCCCGTCGGGGGCTGGCCTGTCGCGACGCTCCCCAGGTCCTCCTCGACCCCTCCCTGCTAGGAAAGACCGGCCCCCACCGCACCCCCGGGGAAGGCAGTGAGTTCTGCCCGCCAGCCAGCCCTGCTGAGATGTCTGGCTCTACAAAGGGCCGACGCCAGCACGCACAGCTTTGATTTCGACAGGCGGCACTGGGGGGGTGGGTAGGGGACGTGTCCACGAAGGTCACCCTGTCCCCACAGCCTGCCAGAAATCACTCCAGGGTCCCTACTTCTGTGGGCCTCAGCGCAGGCTGCAATCAATGCCAGTGGCCGAAATGGGCACCGTGGGCCAAGGGACTTCTTGGGGGACCCAGAAGGGAAAAGCGGGGGCTGCAGGAAGGGGTTGGCTCCCGTGGGTGCGGGGAAGGGTAGAGCCCCAGGGTCCCAGAGGAGGAGAAAAACAGGGTGGAGGATGCAGCCAGGGGGGAATAATGTCCGGGGTGGGGGTGCGTAATGACCACGAAGGCGACAAGGCAAAGCCTGGAAGTGTGCTGGGCCTGCTGGGAGGGCCTGTGGAGGGAGAGACAGGGAGGGTTACAGTGCCTTATTTTGCTGAGGGGGGATTCCAGGTGTGGACAGCAGAGGGAGAGAGAGGGGGGGCAGTGCCAGAGACAGGGTCCTGAGAAGGCAGGAGGACTCTCGCCCTCACTCCCAGGAGGGTTCTTCATTGTCCAGAAACTGTTCACTGTGCACCCAGAGCCCTGGGCTGGCATGTCTGCAGTCCTGGAGCTGAGTTCTGGGGCTGACAGACAACAAACTGAAAAATAAACAAGCCTGGAAATGCCACTTAATGTCTTGGTGCCGCTGTGGATGGAGAGAGTCAGGCCTGAGTGCCCAGGAGGAGCTGGGCCGCGGGCAGCAGGAAAACAGCCAAGCAAGGGGGAACAGAGGGTGCAAAGGCCCTGGGGCCACTCCTCTCCCCTTGTTTCCTCAGCACCCCCATTCTGGCTTCAACCCACCCAGCTCCCCGAACCTGCCCTCAGCCAGGTCACAAGTCACAGGTGAGGGCCAGGCCCCAGGTCTGACCTGCCTCCTGGCCCTGGCAGGGTTATAATCTAGCCATGGAGCCTGAGAAGGCACAGGTTTCTATGGAAGACCACTCCGCACCATGCAAACCATAGCTGACTTCTTAGGAAACAGGACCTAGGGACGTATCTCTCCGTGCGTGAGAAAGTGGGGGGCAGGGAAACACCTGGAGAAGGGGTATCCCGTGTGCATTTCTGCAGAAACGGAACTGCTCTCTGATGCGGCATGCCAGCGGAAATGGCAGACACACGTTTCTTGGGACACCTTCCAAAATAGCAGCTTCTAGCTGACACTGAACACATCTGCCTGGAGCACGGCTCTCCTCGAGGATCTGGGTGGCCCGCTCTGCGCCCCTGCTCCTGCAGAGAGCTTTGGGTCTACAGGCAGTCCCTCTCCCCTTCTTTTCTCTCAGGGTCTCCGTAAGCTCAGGCGCCCTAACACAACACCACAGGCTGGGGGGCTTGACCAACATTTGCTTCTCACAGTTCCGGAGGCTGGAAGTCTGAGATTGGGGTGGCGCATGGTCATGTTCTGGTGGGGGCCTCATCCTGATTTGCAGACGGGGCCTTCTCGCTTGGCTCCTCACCCAGCAAGAGAGAGACAGAGAGGACAAGCCATCTGGTGTCTCTTTTTATAAGGGCACTAACCCCGTCCCATGCTCTTGACCCTCAAATGCCCCACCTCCAAATACTATCCATGGGGTTAGAGTTTCAACATATGAATCAGTGAGAGAACCAACGTCTGTTGTTCAAGCCCCTCAGTTTGTGGTCCTTTGTTATGTCAGACTCGCACAGAAACAGGCCAGCCGTGCATCATTTGGCGAGTGGCTTCCGACGCCCCATGTCTTGTTCTGAGCACCACGGATGGGTCTCTTTCCCGCTGGTGCACATTCAGTGCACGTCGGCATCTGCCCCAACGTGGACACACCACGGTTTATTCTTTCTCCTGTGAACGGACTCGTGCGTCGGTGCCTGACTTGGGCTGTTAGGAAAGATGTCTCCGGGAGCTCTGGTCCATGTATACACACATCCACTGGAGGATCCTGAAGAAAAATAAACCCACACCAAAATACTAATGTGTGCGTCCACTAGTAACGTAGGAGACTTTCCTCTGCTGCACGTTTGTGACAACCACGGTCTCCCAATTTCAGCTTTTCTGGTAGGTTTTGGTGTGGTTTTCACTTCTGTCCTTTGGTGGTGAGGAAGTCGCCAGATCCTTATCACGGATCCACCTTCCCTCTGCAGCTCTTTTGTAAGGCCCTGTTTGTTAAGTGTCTCGATTATTTTTCTATTGAGCATCTTTTCCTTATTGCTTTGTACTTATTTACATACTCTGGAGATGATTATTTTGTGAACTACAGTCCATTCTCGCCGTCCGCGGCTGCCATGCTCTGGAACCGTGAACGCGGGACTGCGGGGTCCGCGAACACACAACCAGGGCTCCTGGGGAAATGCAGGGTCAGCTTCCTGGGAGGCTCTGGGCACGTTTTCATCAACGGATCAACACAGAACCGTGTGTCGTGTGGCTTCTGTTTAAAGGCACCTCATCGACTATACGGTTGAGTCATCAAGGACCCATCCGGCCGGCATCACCGAACCTCACGCCTCAACAAAACCCACCCAGCACGCGGTTTTGTCTGCAGGCCCATCACGGCCTCTGGCGCTTGGAGCCCTGGGTGGGACCTCAGGACCGTGCTGGGGGGTCGTTATAAACAACGGAGTCACCAGCCAAAAGCACGAAAATGCGGGACATGTGGCACTAGATCGACAACGGAAAGGACACTAGTTTCCAGGGCGAGCTGAACCGAGAAGGCAGGGCGTCGCCTCCTCCTGTCTCCGCCGGGGACTTCGGGCCACGCTCCGTCTTCGCTGCTCTGGGCACATCCCCGAACGACCACGGACGTGCTGGGAGTGTTGACTGTGGGCTCACAAACAAGTTTCAGTGAGCAGGTGAATTCGCAATTCCGGGAACCATGAATATTGAAGTTTCCTGCGTCAGTACGGCCTCCTCCACACCAGGATGGTCCTGTTGCTCTCAGTGTGGCTCTGGGTGAACAGGCCTTCCTAAGTTTTCACCTCATCCAACTGATCAGCCTTTCCTTTCTGGGGAGGGCCTTTGTGTCCTGTTCAGGCACCTGCCTGCCCTGAGGTCATGGAAATGCTCCTGGTTTCCCATTTCCATCTCCCGAGGCCGCCAGGCCTGCCTTGGTGGTGTGGGTGAGGCAGGGTCCCATCACAGGGACCCGCAGCCTCTCTCTTCAAGAAAGAATGTAAGTCATCATAGAATTAGAAACACATGTATTCAGAATAAGATAAGAAATCATCTTTTCAAAAATTGACTAATAGTACAAACATCACAAAATCAAGAAAATACCACAGTTCTTATTCATAACTGCATGGTAGGTACTCCACTAGGATACATTTTTCATCTACGTTTTTTATTGTCTCTTCTTATAACAATTTTTCAACATTACTTCCGGGGGAAAAGAGAAGAACTTAGTGTCTCTAACAAGGTTGATTGAAAACAACATTGTGACTACTATTTCACCAAAGTCCTCGCTCGACCACTCAGTACTCACAACTCCTATTCTGTCAAGACTGCTATCAGGTTTGGAGAGAACTTTGACGAGTTGTTTCATTTATAAGCTGGGAAGTCTGGGATACTGCATTTTCTCGTGCCGTGACTAATCTCAAATGCCCGCATGGATCTCATGAACCTCTTCCGTCACGTCCTTGTCACACTGGCTGTGAGGGTTCTCCATTATCTTGTTGATGTCAGCATTTCCTGTTAAATCAGCAGAATGTTTAATCCCATTCCAAAAGTCCGTGTGATTCACTCCTTTTGGCTAATGGCCATGGCAGTTCCTGGAAGCTGTTTTCTGTGCCAGGCTGTCTGGCATGAACTTTGCGAGGAAGTGACTGGGGACAACATGAATATAGTCCATTAAACCCCAGCTGGTGTTTCTACCACTCAGCTTCCCCTTGGCCCGATCCTGAAAAGGCCCCCCCACCTCCCCAGAACCACCCCAGCAAGAGGGGAAATGTGACAGAAGGAGTTTGAGGCAGTGTGGGAATCGCTGTGGTCCTAGTATCCTCCTTCAGCAAAGTTTACAAAACCGTCTGATCATATGACCAAGGCCCCATGTGAGTCTGTGCCATTGAGTGGACCTGCTTTGTCTGTCTTTGGCCAGGCCGCAGGGTCTCTGCTCCTCGGGCTCCACAGTCCTGATCTAAGACAGCAGAGGCCCCTGCAGGTGCTCACGGTGTGGACAGGACATGCTCCCTGCAGAGGCCTGCCGCTGGCCTTCTCTGTCTTCTGGAGCTGTGTTCTTTGCAGTCCTGTGCTCATGATCCCTTCCTCCATCATCAAAGCATAGCATCTTTACTCTAAAATGCATACCCAGGATTTTTTTTAAAGATTTTATTTATCTATTTGAGAGGGCGAGCACAAGCAGGGGGAGAGGCAGAGGGAGCGGGAGAAGCAGGCTTCCCGCCGAGCAGGGAGCCCGACCTGGGGCTCGATCCCAGGACCCCGGGATCATGACCTGAGCCAAAGGCAGACGCTTCACTGACGGAGCCACCCAGGCGTCCCTGCCCCCAGGATTTGTTTTACTCAGATATGGTAAGGTGACAGAAATGGAAACACCCACCTTTGGAAGGATAATTTATTACTTACATTTCCCAGGAGAAGGGGCTACCCCACACCATGCAGGGCCGTGGGGGAAGCACCAGTCGGAGTCAGAAAGGAGAAGCAGGAGCAAAGGGAGTGTGACCCAGAGTCTTTACTGGCGTTTCCACGGGAAGAAACGGGTGAGCAGCCAGCACGGGGAGTAAGCTTAGGATCGGGTAGTTTGAAAAATTTGGGCAGGCCTAGGCTATAGTGGCAGTCCTAGTTGTCCAGTATCTGGCCTTGGGGTGATGTGCGGCAAGGGGGGTGTTGGTTTGGCGCATGAGAGCATTGAAAGGCGGGCTGGGGGTATGGGCTCTCTCCAGAAACTGTGTAGTCCTAGGAGGGCCCTCTCTCCAGGACCAAGGCCCCAAATGCCGGAGCATCGAGAATGAAGAAAATAAGCAAATACAGGCAGGGGAGAAAAAGTTGTTACCTGCCTAGAGATATAAGCCAGATTTTGTTTAAGAGGGAAAAAATAAGGTCCTGCCCTAAGAGAAGAGACACGGTGAAGGGATGCTGCTGTGGATGGAGCTGTCCCAGGGGAGGCTCCTGCTGGCCCTTCCCTCCCAGTTTCCTCCTATCAGACAGAGGCAGGAGGGAAAAGCCTAAAACCAGAAGGAAAGAAAAAAAGAAAAGGGGAGAAAATACAGGCCTGATTTTGCCTGTTCTTCCGCCTGGAAAAATTAGGAGCAACTAGTGGTAGATTACCCCAACCCCATGATGTGGTCCCACCCATTAGGGGCCCCACACCTAGAACCCAATATCATTAAAATTGTATCCAACCCGGCACCTGGGTGGCTCAGTCGGTTGAGCGACTGCCTTCGGCTCAGGTCATGATCCTGGAGTCCCGGGATCGAGTCCCGCATCGGGCTCCCTGCTCGGCGGGGAGTCTGCTTCTCCCTCTGACCCTCCTCCCTCTCATTCTCTCTGTCTCAAATAAATAAATAAAATCTTTAAAAAAAAATTGTATCCAACCAACGTGTAACTATTTCGTTCTTACTGGTGGGCTGAAACGTCCAGCTCTGTGCCTGTTCCGGCAGTCTGTCCGCCACAGCACCATCCCCCAGACGAGATCCTGACCCAGCCTCCTCTCTCCAAGATGGTGCCCCCCCAAGGGGATTCCTGGGACACACTCGTTGGGGCACAGAGGTCCACCAGCCTTTAGTCCTGCTGGGCCCCACTGGCAACACATTCCTCCCCAGCCCCTGGCTGCCTGGGAGCCCCTTGGGACTTGGAGCCTCGGAGCGGGCAGGTCATGTGAACAGCGCCACCAGCCACCACGTGTGACCGAGCCCAGTGGAGTCCTACTGCCAGGACGTCCCCGAACGTGGACAGGACCCAAGGCTAGCACTTTAGCCAAACCTCATGCAGGTGTCTGAGCGGTGGATGCTCTTGGCAATAATGGCTCATCTTCACCCTGATGATGCACTGGGCGGCCATTGCCTGAAAACTGTCCCCTTCAGAGTAAAGAATGCTGGGAATCTCTTGCCTCACAGACGCCAGAAATGTAACTTAAAATCACACATGTCTCTGGATATACTAAGGCCACAATATGAGTCTTGACTAAGACATCCTCACCCTTTGGAGTTACAAACGTTACTAACACAGTAGCCAAGACACATGTCACTTGAGACCACCATGTCCCCGACACGCTCCATGACCGTTTCACTGAGGGACATAATGGTCTTCTTTTTTTTTTTTTTTTTTAAAGATTTTATTTATTTGACAGAGAGAGATACAGCGAGAGAGGGAACACAAGCAGGGGGAGTGGGAGAGGGAGAAGCAGGCTTTCCGCAGAGCGGGGAGCCCGATGCGGGGCTCGATCCCAGGACCCTGGGACCATGACCTGAGCCAAAGGCAGACGCTTAACGACTGAGCCACCCAGGCGCCCCGACATAATGGTCTTCTTAAACAATTCCTCTTCATATCCCAGTCCAATAAATGGACCCCTAGTTGAGTCTCTATCTTGCCCCAGGCGTTAAGCTCCCTTAATTAAGGGCCCTTTGCCCAACTCTCACCTCACACCAACCTGAAAAGCTTTCCCTGTACTGAAGGGGAGATGTGTTCAGCCTCGGTGTAATGGAGACTTGTCATGAGGCCCCTTGCTGATCTCTCCCTACCCCTTGTGTCCCTGTGTGGCCCGGGACCGAGTGCCCGGCCTCCTGTTTCCTGGGATCCGTGAGTATGAACTTCTTCCTGCACGGCGATCATCTCCCTGTGTGTGTGTCTCACCATACCTGGTTAAAACAAATCCTGAGTGCACGTTTTAGAACAGTCTCCAGATCTCTCTCTCTTCCGAGGTCTTTACGTGGCCACTCCCGTGTCAAGTCTCCCTCTGCCTCCCCCTCACGAGGATGCTGTGATGACAAATAGGGCCCATCCGGATCATCCAGGATTATCTCCCCATCTCAAGAGCCTTCACTTAATCACATCTGCAAGTCTCTTCAGCACGGAAGGTCACACTCAGAGGTCCTGGGATTAGGACCACGGACACCGCTGTGGCCAGCCAATCAGTGTGCATTTATTCCACTCACAACTTGTGTTAACTGTCACACATTTTGATTCTCTGGTGTACTTAAGCCCCCAGAAGACATTACATTATTTTTGTATAAATCACTCTTCATTAGATTCATGTACAACATACTCTTCCTGTACCTCTGGGCTGTGCTGGATCATTCTGCTTGGAGGTACCAGTTATCATCTCCGTGGTGAGGGCCAATGGTGACCAATGTCCCCAGAGTCCATTTCTCCACAAAGTCTTTATCTGACCTTCTCTTTGGAAGTAAAATTCTTGCTGGATTCAGAATTCTATCTTACCAGCCGTGTATTTCCAAGACTTTGAAGTTTTCATTTCACTGTGTATTGGTTTCAATTGCTTCTGTTGAAAAGTCAGTGAGCTTTGAAGGTACTTCGTGGGTCTTTGGTTTCAGCCCTTCACGATGATGTGCTTGGGTTCACGCCTTTCTTCGTGGGCTTCGTGGCATTGCTTGATTCTGTGGCGGGGTATCTTCCAACACTTCTAGAAAATCGCCCGCTCTTATCTCTGCAAATCCTGTTTCTGTCACCAACCTGGGGGACCGGTCCGTTGGCGGCCTCCAGCGACGGGGTTCTGCTGTTTCAGGCAGGAGGGTGCAGGGTGGTGAAACGTCTGATTGTGGAAGACACGGTGCTGTACGACTTGCCCGGTGCGTGTGTACGTGAAGCGTAAACCCAGGCCAGGCCACCCAGCTGTCTGTCAGCAAGGTCCGCTCACCCTCTCCAAGCCAGCTTGTGCCCCGACCACACCTGCTCCTTGTCACTTCGCTGTGCCAAGCCAACACCCCAGGGGCTCACCTGTGACTCTGCTCCTTCCCTCCCACCCCTGCATCCAAACCACCGGCGGTCCTAGCGCTCGTCTTCCAAATGTGTCCCACATCCGACCACCTGTGCCCACTGTCCAGCCGTCGCAGGTCGGAGCCATCAGTAGCCGCCGGACCCGCACATTAGGCGACTCCCCGGCCTCCGGGGCCATCCGAGGCATGAAGCCGACAACGACTCACTCTCGGCCCGGGGACAGCGGGGCGCTCTTACAGGAAGCGTCCGAGCACAGCCGGTGAGCAGGGCGGGCGGGTACTGCCGTCCGGCGGGGGCGGACCGAGCCAGGGAGGGGCGGCGGTCCCGGACTCCCCAGGCGGGAGCCCGGCCGGGCGGGGGCACCCCCCGGCCCCCGCCCACTCACCGCCCGCCCCGCCCGCGTTCCAGAACCCACCCAGGCCCGGCCACCGCCCGGCCCCGCCCCGCAGCGGCGGTCACATGGCGTGCGACCCGGAGGCGGAACCGGCGGCGGAGACCTGGGCTCCCGGGACGCCGAGGAGCCGCCGGGCCTGCGGGATCGCGCGCCCCGCCATGCGGCCCCCGGGCTCCCGCACCCCGCCGCTCGCGCTGCTGGCCGCGCTGCTGGCCGCGCCCCGGGCCCTGGCAGAGGCCCCGCACCTAGTGCTCGTGGACGCGGCCCGCGCGCTGCGGCCCCTGCGGCCCTTCTGGAGGAGCACCGGCTTCTGGTGAGCGCTCCCCGCGGGGAGACGCAGGCCCGAGAGGCCCATCGCGCCTGCATCGCGCCGCGCGCTCCTCCCGAACCCGGGCCGCGCTCCTGGACGCCCTGGTTGCATTGGAGAGACCCCGGGCTCCCGCGCCCACCGCTCATAGGCGCTCTGATGTGAGGAAGGCTGCCCAAGCCCTAGCCCTTCCCTGGCTGGTTTACTCCTTCCTCTTGGGGTCCGCCTTCAGTCAGACTGGGGGCTTTCTTTGCCGGCCGGCTGCAGGCGGTGTTTTGGGTGCCACGAGGGGTTTTCTGAGTGGGTGCCCGGCGTGGTGGAGACCTGTGGACAGGCCCTGAGTTTGCGCGGTGGCCACCTGGGGCCGTCCAGGCCCAGGAGGGGCAGCGGCCCAGGACACTGCTCTTTGCTGCAGACCAGGACCCTCCCAAGGGGGCGGCCACAGTGATGTCAGACATCCCTGTCCTGGGACCTATCTCCCAACCCCCCGCTCCGACCCCCTCTCTTGTCTCCAACCCCCTCTGTGGCCTGCTTCTGGCTGAGATCACCTGGCTGAAGGGGGAAGGAGCAGGGTATTGGGATGGGGTCCTCTCTTTTCAGGGTGCCCCCTGGGTCCTCTCTTTTCAGGGTGGCCCCGTAAACGTGAGCCTTAATAACATTCCTGGTGTTAGGGGTCATTTTATTACATCAGGGACAGTAACATGCATTGGCAGGTACTCCCCAGTCCAGCTGCTGGAGATGGGTGTCCCGGGCAATCCCAGGCCCTGTCCGTGGGGACTCATGCCCCATCCCCCTTGTTCTTTCCCCAGCCCCCCACTGCCTCACAGCCAGGCTGACCAGTATGACCTCAGCTGGGACCAGCAGCTCAACCTGGCCTACGTGGGCGCTGTCCCTCATGGTGGCATTGAGCAGGTCCGGACCCACTGGCTGCTGGAGCTCGTCACAGCCAGGTGAGTGATGGGGGCAGCCGGCAGAGCCCCCTTTATGGAGAGGAGGACCGAGGCTAAGAGGAGGACTATGTCGGGGTGTGCAGGACCGGGCAGTGTGAGGGCCGTGGTGGGGGCAGAAGAGAGGAGAATCCTGCTCTGAGGAGCTGTTGCCCTCACACTTCCCGGCAGAATGTCATGTGTGGGGCTCTGGTGGGTGCTGAGCGGCCCCTGGATTGGGCACAGCTGACATCCCGCTGGACGTCACTTAGAGGCTCAGGGGCGGGTTGGTGTTCCGCTGCACCAGCAAGAGTGCACCCACATACCTCATGCGGTGTGCTCGGGGGTCAGGCTTTGCAGGAACACTGCCCAAGGGCTGGGCTGCAGTTGTGTTGGTCCCAGCCCCCTTCGGCCCTGCAAGGCTCAGCCCAGCCAAGGCGTGAGACGAAGGAACACTTGGTTGTGTGTTGGGAAGACTTCAGAGACACAGAGACCCTCAGGCCCCTGGCCAGAGCTGCCACCTCTCACCAGTGGGCCCGGGACTGGGCAGGCCAAGGGACCAGTATCCTATGGGCACCTTGGAGGCGTCCTGATTGCCTCGGGCCCTTGTTCAAATAAGAGGTGACACCCTCTGTCAAATCGACCCTACAGGACCATGGACACACAGCGCGCGGGCCCAGGGGGCTCTGTGACAGTCCGTTTCAAAGGTGCCGCTCTTGGATGTTCAAGCGTCTGGGGCCTCTGTGTGCTCCCCGGTTCCTCCAGGGTGGAGGGGCACCGTGTCACTCTTGGAGGGGTGTGGTGAGTGGTGTCGGTGACCGACTGCGGGAGCGTGTCTGCTGAGGGCTCCTGGGACGCTGCTAGAGGGCGGAGTCCGTGGCCGCCAGCGCCCTGCGGCGAGCTCGGGCCCCCTGCACGGCGCTGTGCACGCTGTGGAAGAGCTGCCCCTCCTCGGCCGCGTCCTCCTGGTCCTCCCCAAGGAAGCCACCTCTCCTCAGCGTGTCCCTCACCAAGGGGCTGCAGCAGGCCAGGAGCAGGGCGATGCCCAGGGCCCCGTAATCTCGGCGCAGGCCCTGTAGCGTGGCCACACCGGCTGCATCCAGGAACAGCAGCGGGGCACAGTCGATGACCACGGCATGGAAGCGGGCCACCGTGGACACCAGCGCAGCCGTGCTGGTCACTGGGCCCGGGTCCACGCCCTCGGCAGGGTCTCCCTCGCCGGCCCTCACCTCCAGGCCCTGCTCCTTCTTCCTGGCGGCCGCGCGCCCTGCGTCCAGCCCCGTGAGGCTGTAGAGTGACCGCAGGAAGAAATCCTTGTTGGCGTAGTGGAGCGGCCCCGCAAAGCGGAATATCCGCACCCCAGGCTCAGGGACCAGGCCCTCAAACTCCGCAGCGTCCTCGTAGAAGCCAGAGTCCCCGATCTGAGCGAGCAGGGCAGCCCGCGGGCGCTGGGTACGGCCAACCAGGCTGAGCAGAGACAGGAGGATGCCGGCCAGCAGCCCCACCTCGACGCTGACCAGCGCGCAGGTGGCCGCCGTGGCCACCCAGACCAGCGCGTCAGCGGGGCTGAGCCTCCACAGCTGCGGGACGTCCCTCACCTTGCGCAGGGCGCCCCGCAGGCTGACCACAATGACGCAGGCCAGCACGCACCGCTGCAGGTCCCGGAAGAGCGGTGCCAGGGCCAGCAGCACCAACAGCACCACGGCGGCGCTGACCACGCTGGACAGCTGCGTGCGGCAGCCGGTGGCTGTCTTCACTAGGCTCTTGGACAGGGCAGCGCTGGTGACATAACAGTGGAAAAAGGCAGGCAGCACGTTGCAGCAGCCCACGGCCAGCAGCTCCTGGTTGGCCCTCACGGAGTAGCCGTGGCTCCGGGCAAACATCTCGGCCAGAGAGATGGAGAAGGCGGAGCCCACGAGGGCCAGGGGCACGGCGTCCAGCACCACACGCCACATCAGCCCAGGGTCGGGCACCCGGGGGGCCACGAAACCAGTGGGGATGTCGCCGGCCACGCTGGAGCCAAAGCGTTCGTGGAGCTGGCCGAAGTGGGACACCAGCGTGGCCGCCACGATGACCAGTAGCTCCGTGGGCAGCGGCACCTTTAGGCGGTGCCGGCAGCGGTCTGAGAGCTCCTTCGAGGCCAGCAGCACGGCCAGGCACGTGGCACTGGTGACCACGTCGCAGAGGTTGGCCTGCCCAGCGCTGCGCAGCAGGCTCAGCCACGTGCTGACCACCATGCCCGGCCCTTGGTGCCGTGGGATCTGCACGCCCAGCAGGTGCCTCAGCTGGGAGGTCAGGATGGTCACCGAGGCCCCCATGGCAAAGCCATCGAGCAGTGGCTGGGAGAGGTAGGTGGACACAAAGCCCAGCCGGAGGATGCCCATGAGGACCTGTGGACAGAGCGTGGTCAGGGCAGCGGGCCGCCTGGTGCACAGAGGGGGCGGCCGCAGCACAGAGCCCAGCACCCCTTCACTGCTGCCGCTTATTTCCCGAACGGACTCTGCCCGGGGTCCCCCGCACACACGTGTGCGCACACAGGCACGGCAGACGCTGGAGGTGCACACGTGGCCTCGTACGCTCATTTCTGGTCTCCTCGCGCGTGCGGGCTCCGGGCATCGGAAAGCGGCTCCTTTCTCCTGTCCTGCGAGGGGCACTGCCCCCCACCCGGGAGACCTGGGGCCCCTGGGAGGGTGTGCCATTGGGGTGGACAGGACAGGCCTGGTCCAGGAGACCCCTGGGTGTGGGGAGGCTGCAGGAAGGGAGGCAGCCTCTCAGGGTCCCACCTGGGACGGGAGACCCAGGGGAGCTGTGTGGGCCAGCCAGGCACGTCTGGAGCTGAGGCCCCACTCCAGCCGACTACTGCTGTCCGGGCCACAGCTGGCTGGGCGGGGCCCCCGTTCCCGGGCACCCTCAGGCCCTCAGGTGCCCCGGTCCTGGGGTGCCGTCCCGTGCCCACCTCTGCCTCAGCCTGCTCTGTCCCATCCTTGCTGGTTAAACCCGCCGTCCTCTGAGGCCCTGAGCCCGCACTGCCCTGGGCCTGGCCCTTCTGAGTGGGCGGTGAGCGCCCGAGGGGCCTGCGCCTCGCTCGGCAGAACCCCAGCCGGTCGGCCCCTCACCTGGTAAATGCCGGCTACCAGCGTGAGGGCAGCGGCGACGCGGATGGCGTAGCAGTCCTGCTTGCAGTCCTGTGGCCCGGGCCCCACGGCGGCGGCTGAGGCGTTGACCCTGCTGCTGTTGTCCCCGGGCCCTGCGCCGCCCTGGGCGGGGCCGAAGCCGGCCAGCAGGAGCTCGCGGTCCACCACCTGGCCCACCATGAGGCAGAGCAGGCTGAAGATCCCCACGGACACGTGGTGAGAGGTGCCCATGAGGAAGTAGATGAGGTTCGCGAAGAAGGACGTGTACAGACTGTAGATGGGCTGTAGTCCCGCCAGCAGTGAGTAGGCGATGGCCTGGGGCACCAGGATGATGCCGATGACCAGCCCGGACATGACATCGCCCGCCAGGGCCTCCCGTGGCTGGTACTGGCACAGCCAGCGTGTGGCGGGGAGCAGGTCCTGCACCAGCGTCCAGGCGCTCTGCGGGCTGCACGCGCACCTCCACCACAGCCTGGCTTTGAGCATCTCACACAGGCCCAGGGGCGCTGGGGACCGCCGGCGGACCAGCACCGGCCGGCCGCCCCGCTGCACGCACTCAGGGGCCACCTCCATCTGGGAACCTGCAGTGGAGGCGGGCGTCAGCGCTGGGGTCGCAGGGCCGCGCAGAGACCCAGACCTGCGCGTGGCCGGACCCCGCTCCGCGGCTCCCTGTCCACCTCCCCGTGCGGGCACAGGCCCCCCCCACCCATCCCAACCACCGTGGTCCCCTCTGGCAGCCCTTGGGTCAGCTCTGTGCCATGGGCTTGGAGGACGAGGGCCTCCCTGTGCCCCCTGTTGAACCTTCGAGATCCTGGGACCCCACGTCTGCGCTGGGGGAGGGCTGCTCAGACAGCAGCACTAGCCACCCCCTGCTCCTTGGGCAGAACCCCTGGGACATGCTTTGGCAGGGTGATCTCAGCGGGGGCCAGCTGGGAGGGAAGTTGGGGCAACCGGCATCTGTCCTCTTCCCGGTCCGCCAGGACTGGGGGGTACCCCTTCCCAGGTGTGTGTTCACACTGCTGAGGCGGGTCGGGGTCTCAGACCACACAGGTGCACTGTGGAACACAAGTGTGGGACTGCTGGCCTTCTCTTGCCTTGTCACCCCAGGCCCAGGACACAGGTCTGGGGTCTCCCCGGGCTGTGGAGGACGGCACGTAGGGGGGCAGGCAGGCACAGCCCCCATGAGCTCCAGGGGGATGTTGAGCTGTGCTTCCTTCCTGGGACGACCTCAGCACACAGGGGCCCCCCCGAGCCCCCAGAGTCCAGGTGTGTAGAGTGAGGACTGTTGAAGTGGCATCTGCCTTGTGCCGGGGGGTCCACAAAGGAGACCCTAGAACTGCCCTGCCCTCCCCTTCACCCAGGGAGCTGGCCTCTCCTGTCGCCTCGGGGATTTCACGGTCCTGCCGCAATGCCCCGGGATGATCTTACCTGAGGGAGCCCCTCACGGGCTTGGAGGACCGGAGGGTAGCGAGGGAGCTGGCCTTTCAGCCTGTCGGGGCCAGAGTCCGCCGGCCGGCCGGCCCTCCAAAGCCCTCTGGCTTTTGTTGGCGGGTGGGGGAGTGTGGGCGGCAGGGTTCTGGCTCAGAGCTGGAGCCAGGAGCCAGACCACGGCAGAACTGGCGCCCACCGCGGGCAGTGCTCCGTGGTGACCATCTGACTGCTTGGCCAGCTGGGCTTGCAGTTAAATTATTTACCCCAAAGATTGCTGAGTCATGGGTTTCCCCCAGACCGGTGTTACCTGAGCGGCTAATCCAGGGAGTTGTACTGTAATCAGAGGCTCACAAACAATTGTGTGGGCCTCTTGATAAGCTCCCAGCCTCCCAGCGGGGCCCCACGTGTGGGACAGGGTGGGCGAGGGCCCCCAGTGGCTGGAGCAGGATGCTTGGATTCTGGGGTCCTTGGGGGAGGCAGAAGGCCCAGGAGCCCAGCCAGTCCTGGGACAGGGTACAGGCAGAGGGGACCCTTCAGCTCTGGGGCCTATTGCTGTGGTCCCCACAACTAACTAAGGGTGGGCACTGGGGGAGGGGCCGGTCTCTTCATCCCATCCCTGGTCATCCTCCCCGTCGTGCCGTGAGACAGGTCTGGTCCACACTGGAGCGCCGGCCCGAGCGGCACTGGGCAGCTGTATGCTCGGCCTCTGTTGTGTGTCCTTGTGTGGAAAGCGGGTGTGAGGCCCCTGCTAAGTGTGTGTGCGTGCAGGTGTGTGGATTGCTGAAGGCAGGAGGGCCAGCGGGCATCAAGATATGCTACCAGCCAGGTACACCCTTCTTGGGGGGGTGGGGGTCCGACCACCTGAGTGACTGTCAGGTGCCAGGCGTGGGCAAGGACTGGCGTGAAGGCACATGATGGCTTTAGATGATTACCCATGCGACCCACAAATGATACAATGACTATTCTGATCCTCCACCTTTACACTGAGTAACAGGTGAACTTCCACCACTGGGATCTTGAAGGGTTATGTGTGGAAAGGGGCCCATCCCGCGGGCTGCCGTAGCCCCGTAGCCCCTACTGCTCTCCTATCCCCCCGGGACCCAGCCTAGGGTTTTCCCTCCACTGACCGGCCCCCCCCCCCGAGTCCATCCCAGGACCCACGTGGCCCCTGGTGGGAGCTGTTTGCCCAGATCAGGAGCTTCAGGCCCCTCCCTGGGGCAGATCAGGTGCACCTCGGGGTGCAGAGGGGAGGGTAGCTATTGAGGGGGGGCATATACATTTATCTCCTACCCCGGCTACTGGCAAAGGGGCCGAGAGAACTCCCTGAGTGACCTCAGCGCCCTTGGGGGTTTTGTGACACAGAGGACTCCTTGGTGCCCAGAGCAGCGGTGGCCAGGGGCAGATACACATGTGTGCTCGTGCTGGGCCAGGGGGCCTGGGTGCTGGTGTAGGAGAGGGGCTTACTTGGGGTGGGGACCTAGTGTGGGAAGGGGCCCTTCCTCTGAGTTAGGAAGGGGAGGGGTGGGGGTTTCTGGAGGCTCTGGGCAAGAAAGCACCTGGGTGGGGTGAGATTCAAGGCAGGTGGAGATGTTTCAGGGAGGGGCTAATGGGGTCCACCAGGAGCCCCTATCCTGTCAGATGCAGCCTGGGGGCCGGATGTGGCTCCCTTGCCAGCAGGCATTGGGCCTCATACTCTGCCCAGGCTGGGTGTCTAAACCAGGTGAAGGAACAGTTGCGGTCACGTCTGACCTTTGGGAGAATTGCAGGACACCCCTGCCCCTGCCGTGTCCGTCCACTTCTCTGCACTGAGGCTGGTGATCGGCACCTGTGGTCTGGGCCCCGCACACGGGTATCTAGTCCTGGGCATTTGCCTGCCAGAGGGGCTGCTGAGGCCCACCCCCCGTCATTGCGGTGGGCCCACCGAGCTGCACACTTCACCCGGGCAGGGGCCTTGGGGTTCACCCTGCTGGAACCTCCCTCTGGGGGCTTCTGCCCAGCCTTAGGCCACATGGTTATTTCCTTAATATTTGTCTTTAAATCCCTGTTTTAAATTGTCAAATACGCTTATTTGGAAAGGAAATATTGTATCCCGACCCCGAGTGCAAAGGGGCTGCCGGCCGACGGCCCGTATGGCTTCCAGGGCCCCGACATGCCGCCGTGGTGCACGGGCCCCGGGTGCTGGATGGGAACATGGAGAGCACCGGGCCTCTCCCGCCGGCTGGCCCTGAGCCTGACACCCTCCTGCCTCCATCCTCAGACTGAGGCTGCGGGTTCCCTTGGGGGGCGGGTCTGTGAGCCCGCTGCGCGCGCCCCCACGCATCTCCCTCGGCTGGCGGCTCACTGCGCTCCCCGCCCCACCCTCCTGCTCCGGGAGCGCGCGCCCCGCGTCTTCGCCCCGCGGACCCTCCATGCGCGCCCCCCACTCGGCACCCCCCACCGCCGTGGCCTGGTCCTCACTCCCCCGCGCACGTGCGGCCGGGTCCAGCTCCGCGCACCCGAGCACTCCCCAGGCCCGGCCGCAGCTCTGTCCTCCCGCACACGCGCTCAGGCCCTGCAGTGGGGGCCTTGGCGCAGCCCGCCGGCCGCCAGCGCGCGTGAATGAGCACTTTGTGCAGCCGCCGCAACCCCGGCCCATGTGCCAGAGCCGGAGGCCTCGCACCCAGGTTCGGACCCTTTCAGGGCCGCGGAATGGAAGCTGGTCGGTGGAGACCCAAGCCTCTCTGCACTTCACCTCAACACTCAGCCCCCTCCCTAAATGAGGTCTCCCAGATCCTCACTCTGACCGGGCCAGGCAGAGGAAGACTAAGGCACCTACAGTGGGGCCTAAGGACCTCTGGGGTGGGTTTTTTGGCCCCTGGGACCGGTGTATTGGCCCCCAGGGTATCCTTAGCTGTGGAGGCTGGCTGGGCCAGGGGACAGTCCTATCCATCCAGGGGGCAGGCTGGGGATGCCTCTGCGTTAGGGCTCCCCCGTGGTACCCCACTGGCCCAGGACACCACCCACAGGAGCAGCATGGATCTGAGGTCTGCTGTGCACCCAATGTGTGCAGGCTGGGATTATTGCCGCCAGGGGCTGCAGGGAAAGCATGGAGCTCCTGCACATGCCTTCACTTTCCACTTGGTCACCCCATCACCCCTGCCCACCCCCCTCCCCCACAGTAGTGGGACTTTGGAACCGTCTGCTGTGCACATTTAATTTTTACCCAAGTGCTTGTTAGTTTTCTTTGCTACCGGTTGTGACCTTTGGATGGGAGGGGAAGGGTGAGGGAGGTGATCCCCACTGCCCACAAGCTTGTCCTGCTGGGCCCCAGAGATGGAAGGACGCAGCCCCTGCACAGGGGGGCCAGCAAGGGAAAGCAGAGTGCAGGGCCGGGGAGGAGCAGAGGAACTTGGGTGTGGTGGCTTGACCTGGTCCCTGGGTTGGACTCTGAAGGCCAGGCCCAGGCTCATCCTTGACCCTGTCCAAAGCGAGGCATGGGGGAGAGAAGGACGTAGAGGGGAGGTGTTGACTTATCCATGTCCTCACTGTGTCCAGGGAGACAGTGGGCCAGCCAAGCTGTGGCGTGGGATGGGGAGGTTGACAGATGAAAAGCTGTTCAGGGCCAGGTTCTGTGGTGACCCCACCCGGCTCCTCCCCAGCTGCCACAAGAGGGCGCCCTGCAGGCCCTCCTGCCCTTGGCCACCTTCCTCCCTGGGATGGACGGATGGGCAAGCATGTCCTCAGGGGAAGCCCTGAGAGGCCTGCCAGCCCACCGGCCTGTGCTCCTCACGAGGCAATACCCCCAGCCTGGGCCACCCCTGGGCTCCGTGCACACCCCTGCACCACTCCTCCTGCCCCGGCCCCTTGCCTGTGCCTGACTGGAAGGCCACCAGCTTCCTCACCCAGCGCCCAACGCCGGGCCCACCCTCAGATGCCACCTGTGCCCCTACCCACCTCGCTGCTCAAGCGAAGTCTGAGGGGTTGTGCAAGACCTGCCCCCTCCATCTGCAGATGTTGCCCACCCTACCTCGTAAGTCCATCTGCTCTGGCTCCTTCCTGCTGCCTTTGTAGCCACCGCCCAGTCCTTGCGCTACACCTGTCCCGGGGGGACCTTTCCAGCCATCATGGCCAAAGGAAAACTATGGAGACAGCACCAAGATGGGCGGTTGTCAGGGGTTGGGGGCAGGAGGGTGAGCAGGGGGAGCACGGGGGATGTGGGGGCCGGGGAGCAACTCTGGGTGGTGCTGCGGTGGTGGGCACCTGTCCTGATGCCCGTGTCCAAACCCACAGAATGTGCACCACCAGGGGGGGCCCTGCGGCCATCTGTGGACTCTGGGTGAGGATGACGTGTGCGTGGAGGCCCGTCCGCCGTCACATGTCCCATCCCAGTGCGGATGTGGATAGTGGGGAAGGCTGTGCCTATGTGCAGGCAGGGAGGAGATGGGAAATCTCTGTACCTCCCTCTCAATTTTGCTATAAACCTAAAACTGTTAAAAAAAAAAAAAAGTCTTGGGCCCCTGGGTGGCTCAGTTGGTTGAGCGACTGCCTTCGGCTCAGGTCATGATCCTGGAGTCCCTGGATGGAGTCCCGCATCGGGCTTCCTGCTCGGCGGGGAGTCTGCTTCTCCCTCTGACCCTCCCCTCTCTCCTGTGCTCTCTCTCATTCTCTCTCTCTCAAATAAATAAATAAAATCTTAAAAAAAAAAAAAAAGTCTTGGGGCGCCTGGGTGGCTCAGCCAGTTAAGCGTCTGCCTTCGGCTCAGGTCATGATCCCAGCATCCTGGGATCGAGCCCCGCATCGGGCTCCCTGCTCAGCAGGAAGCCTGCTTCTCCCTCTCCCACTCCCCCTGCTTGTGTTCCTTCTCTCTCTGTCTCTCTATGTCAAATAAATAAAAAATTTTTAAAAAATCTCTTAAAAAAAAAGTCTTAAAAACAAAGTCATGGCACTTTTCTCCTTGAATCTCTGACAAGGGCTCCCCATTTCACTTTGAGTCAGGGTCTCATCCTCACTTTGGGCACAAGGCCTCCTGTGATGTAGTCTGTCACAGCCAGCACCCTATTCTGCCCCAGGTCCACACTGTGTTTTCTACTGCTTGATCACTGCAAGTTTACTCCTACCTCAGGGCCATTGCACATGCTGTCTTGTCTGTTCTCCCGGGCATTCTCATTGCTGGCTTTGTCTCACTACGTGGTAGGTCTTAGATGTTACCTCAGAGAGTCCCTCCCTGCCTGATCCTTTGCTCCCTTCCCCTTGCATGGTACATCTGATGTGCCCACATTCAAGATTCACGTGGTTGCCTGATGATTTCTGTCTCCTCCCAAAATGTGAACCTGGAGGAAATTGGGCCCCAGTGTAGTAGGGTGGGAGGCTGCCCTTCTGCATTTTCTGAGTGTGGGAGGGGGAGAGGAGTACTTTTGAGACAAATCGGGAGCCCTGGCCTCCAGGACGTGTGAAGAAGCAGGTTGTGGCCCCCCGCCCCCGGGTCCTGCCAGGCTTCTGTTCCATGGCTCCCCACTCCACAGTCTGCTGTCTTCAGGTGCCTTGTTCTCCCCTACTCCATTCTATTGTGCCCTTCCCAAAAGATCTACCTGAGGACGTAGAGGGGAGGTGCCCAGAGCTGTTCCGAGCTCCTGAAGGCTGGGGGGTGGGGTTCCAGTACAAGCACACTGGTTCATACTAGGCTATGAATGACTGATAGGCTTCTGTCATTGGTGTTTTCAAGGGGACGGACCCACTGAGGAGTCTGGATCTGAGACCTGCATGGCACCTTTCAGGCTCCCTACCTGCTTGAATGTGGCCACAGTTCCAGCCCGGGGCCCACTTTCCTCTGCCCTGACATTCACTGTCCTACAGGGAGTCAGCTGGGCAAGGCCTGAGCTACAACTTCACGCATCTGGATCGGTACCTGGATCTTCTCAGGGAGAACCAGCTCCTCCCAGGTAAGCAGCAGCCCTGCCCTCTGCCCTCTAGTCCTGTCCCGTCCCCGGGACCTGACCCCTCTGGGTTCTCACTGGTTATATGCAGAGGACTGGCCTCTGTGCGGGCAGGTGGGGCCCAGGGCAGGCAGAGCGCGGGTGCCGTGCGGGCAGGTGGGGCCCGGGCGGATAGCCACCTTCATGTGTTGCAGGCTTTGAGCTGATGGGCAGCCCCTCCAAACGCTTCACCAACTTCGAGGACAAGCAGCAGGTGTTTGAGTGGAAGAAGCTGGTCTCCCTCGTGGCCAGGAGATACATTGGTGGGCAGGGCACAGGCACTGGAGGGACGGGTGGGCACTCCTGGGCAGGCTCTCCTCCCACACAGGCCACCCCCTTGGTCTTCTCTGTCATGAACCCTGAGCCAGGGTCTCCTGATGGGGGAAGGAGGCCGGGCAGGGGGCAGTGGGCTCATATGGAGACGGATATCCTTGTCACGGTCCAACCGTAGGCAGGCCTCCCTGTGAGTGCTGATGGGCTTGGCATTCCCCGTGGGGGGCATGTGTGACAGTGAGGGGACATTCTGCAGGCAGGTATGGACTCTCACACGTTTCCAAGTGGAACTTCGAGACATGGAACGAGCCAGACCACCACGACTTTGACAACGTGTCCATGACCATGCAAGGTGGGTGGCGCCTCAGGGGTCCTGTGAGTGGAGAAGGGGCGGGAGCGGCCCCTCAGGCGCCAGCGTGTGGACTCCAAGTGCCCTCCCGCCCAGGCTTCCTGAACTACTACGACGCCTGCTCCGAGGGTCTGCGGGCTGCCAGCCCGGCGCTGCGTCTGGGCGGCCCCGCGGACTCCTTCCGCCCCTGGCCGCGCTCGCCGCTCTGCTGGGGCCTCCTGGGTCACTGCCACAACGGCACCAACTTCTTCACGGGGGAGCTGGGCGTGCGGCTGGACTACATCTCCCTCCACAAGAAGGTACAGCCGCCGCCCCCCGCGCCCCCTGCCCCTCCGCCTGCCAGGGGACCCCCGCCGCAGCCCCACCCGCTCTTCAGCCAGACTCCGGGAGCTGACCCCAGTTGTCCTGAGGCCAACCTCCGCAGGGCGCGGGCAGCTCCATCTCCATCCTGGAGCAGGAGAAGGCCACCGTGCTGCAGATACAACGGCTCTTCCCCACGTTTGCTGACACCCCCATTTACAACGATGAAGCGGACCCGCTGGTGGGCTGGTCCCTGCCGCAGCCTTGGAGAGCCGACGTGACCTACGCGGCCATGGTGGTGAAGGTAGGCCCGCCCCCAGCACCCAGCCCAGCTCCTACCCCAGGAGCTGCGGCCCTTAAGGGGAGGGAGGGTCCGGCGCGCGGCCTGGGAGAGCCTACCGCCTGGACGCCCGCAGGTCATTGCTCAGCACCAGAACCTGCTGGTGGCCAACTCCAGCTCTGCTGTGCACTACGCGCTCCTGAGCAACGACAACGCCTTCCTGAGTTACCAGCCGCACTACTTCACACAGCGCACGCTCACCGCGCGCTTCCAGGTCAACAACACGCGTCCGCCGCACGTGCAGCTGCTGCGCAAGCCCGTGCTCACCGCCATGGCGCTGCTGGCCCTGCTGGGTATCCCCGCCCCCTTCTCTGCGCCAGCCCCCACTCGAGCGGACGAGGCCGCCCCGTGCCCCCTGGGCGGGGCCCGGAGCAGGGCCGCGGTCGGGCAGGGGTGTCCTTCCAGGCCCTAGTGGCTTGCGCGAAGGCCCCAAGGCAGGGGAGGCGCGGATGTATGCGCCCTGCCGGGGATGGGGGACTTTCTTGGCCCTCCCGGCGCCGCTTCCCCAGCCCAGTGGGTCACAGACGTTGTGGTGTGGCGGGGCCCTCCTGGTGCGGGACCCTTCGTGGAGGGGAATGAACGGTGGGAAGCCAGGCCTCGGGAGGGCAGCCCCGGGAGGCCGCGATTTCCCCTGGCGCCAGCCCACGCCTGCCCTGCAGACAGCGAGCAGCTCTGGGCCGAGGTGTCGCAAGCCGGGACGGTGCTGGACAGCAACCACACGGTGGGCGTCCTAGCCAGCGCCCACAGCCCGGCTGGCCCCCTGGACGCCTGGCGTGCCACCGTGCTGGTCTACGCGAGCGACGACACGCGCGACCACGCCAATCGCAGCGTCGCCTTGACCCTGCGCCTGCACGGGGTGCCCCCAGGCCCGGGTGAGCTGGGCTCCCGGGGAAGGGGTGGCCCTGGAGGGGGCGGGCCCGGCGAGGCGGGGCTCCAACGTCCGCTCCGCAGGGCTCGTCTATGTCACCCTGTACCTGGACAACCGGCTCTGCAGCCCCCATGGCGAGTGGCAGCGCCTCGGCCGGCCTGTCTTCCCCTCGGCAGAGGAGTTCCGGCGCATGCGCGCTGCCGAGGTCTGAGGCAGGGTGGGGGATGGGGCAGGGCGGCTGTCGAGATCCCAAGGCCCTGAGTACCAGTCCCTGTCCCCAGGACCCGGTGGCCGTGGCGCCACGCCCCTTCCCTGCCAGTGGCCGCCTGACAATAAGCCCAGCGCTCCGGCTGCCCTCGCTCCTGCTGGTGCACGTGTGTGCACGCCCCGAGAAGCCGCCAGGCCAGGCAAGTGGCAGCCCCCTACCCCGCCGCCCAGGCCCCTCCAGCCCCCCAGTCACGGAGCCTCTCTCCCGTCAGGTGACCTGGCTCCGTGCCCTGCCCTTGACCAGTGGGCAGGTGCTTTTGGTCTGGTCGGATGAGCGCGTGGGCTCCAAGTGCGTGAGTGCACTCACTCCCACTCCCCTAACCCCCACCCTGTGGGAGCTGTTGATCCCCACCTATGCCCAGTCCCTCGAGGCTGCAGTGCCCAAGTGGTCACTCCGCTCTGGTCCTCCGACCCCTCCCCACCTCTGCCTCTCACACCCCCACTCTCGCAGCCACACAAACAGCCCGAGGCATCCCACCCTGCTTGATCGGGGGTGGGGGTACCTGCAGGGAACACTGACAGGTGGCCCTGGGCTCTAGTCCCCTCGTCCCCTCTCTTCATCGAGCATGAAGGAAGAGGGCCAGGGACCCGGGGAGGGCTCAGAAAAGGGGCTGTGCGTCTACCCTGCCCCCCAGCCCACCTGGACGCCAGCCCTCAACCCGACTGACCCTCTCCAGGTGCCTGTGGACGTATGAGGTCCAGTTCTCCGCAGATGGTGAGGCATACGCTCCTGTCAGCAGGAGGCCATCGACGTTTAACCTCTTTGTGTTCAGCCCAGGTATGCCTGCCACTGTCTGCCCTGGCCTCAGCTGCCCCATTTCTGGGCCTCAGCACATGTCCCATGGGGTGGGGTCCAGGGAGCTCTAGGAGTTTGGGGTGGGCTCAAGGGGGCACTCAAGAACACATGTGTATGTTTGCATCCTCAGACTCTGCTGTCACGTCCGGCTCCTACCGGGTTCGAGCGGTGGACTACTGGGCCCGGCCAGGCCCCTTCTCGAACCCTGTGCGATACCTGGAGGTCCCTGCATCATGAGGGCCCCCACTGCCCAGTGACCATGAGCCTGTGCTGACCCGTGAGCCTGGGCGGCCAGGAGCTGCGATGGGCTGGACCACCAACGGCCCATCAGTCGGCTCTGTTCGTCCTCTCCTGTCCTCTTGCTCATCCCCTTAAAGTGCCTTTCCACTCATCAGTCTTGGGGCTGGCCTTTGTGGATGGGCCCAGGGCAGACTCGGGACCTGGCTAGAGCAGGGCCTTCCCCTCCTCCCTCCTCTCCAGAGTGCTTTCTCCCACCATGGGAGCAGGCTGGGCACAGGGAGACTGAGGTCCAGCTGCCAAATGGATGGCTGCCCAGCCTCCCTGGGGTCTCTGGCCTCATTGCTGGGTGCAATGGGCCCCATTCCTATCCCCTGCCCATTCTGCAGAGCAGGAGGGGGCCGCCTGGGTCAGCGTGGAGCCCAGATGGGGGCCCACTTCCTGAGGCCCAGGCAGGCTGAGCCTTGCACTCCACCAGGTGGGAGGTAGGGTGGGACTTCCAGGCTGTCTGGCCCCCACTGTGGCCAGCAGCACAAAAGGCCAGCAGTATCAGCTGTGAGCCGTGTCTGCCCCCATGGCCATCCTGGTTCCTTATCTGAGCCCAAGGGAGACAGATGGCATGCTGAGAGGAGGGTGACTGGGGACTGTTCACAGAGATGTGACGGTGGGCAGGGTCCTGCATGGGGAAGTGCAGGACCCAGGATCCTCCCCACACCCACCCACCACCCCAGGGCCGACAGGGCAGGTGAGGGAGCACTCACCCGTCCGGACAGAAAGGTGTGGAGAGGCCACCTGGCGAGGAGCAGAGACCTTCAGTCCAGGGGTGCAGCCAGTCTGGGGGGCCCTGTGAGCAGGAGGGGGGTGGGGGTGTGGAGGCCCTGATCCCACTCTCCTCCTCTACTGCCCTCCAGGGCTACCTTGGGCTTAGGGCTGGGGGAGGCGATGTGGGTCTGAAAGGGCAGATGGAAGACAAGGCCCAGTGAACCCCTCTGGCTTCCCCCAACCTGCCAGCCCCCGTCTCCGTGAGAAACTCAAGGACCACCAGGTCTCACCAACTGCCTTACCATGGGTGGGAGAAGTCACCTTGATCACACTTCCCTCTGGACCCCACAGTCAGCCCCATTGCTTTTCCTCTTTCCCAGCGTGGGTACCGTAGTTGCTGCCGGGGGGTCCAGCCCTTGTGTCTCTGTGGGGCACCGTTCCCTGCTGACTGCCGTCAGTATCCAGGGGGCAGAGGGGGTGCTGGGTGGGTCCCGGGGTCCCACACGTGGTCCTCCTGCTCTATCACGAAGCCCTGTCTCAGCCAGCCCAGGCTGTCATGGCGTAGTAGAACGAACCACCGACCCCAAGGCCCCAACTACAGAAGCGTGTTCTCTCCCAGTCCCGGAGGTGAAGTCTGAGATGAAGGTGCGGGCACGGTTGGATCCTTCCGAGGCCTCTCTCCCGGGCTTGCAGGCGGAGGCCTTCTCCCTGCCTCCTGTGTCCTGCTGCCCTCTCCTAAGGACGCCAGTAGCACCCATGCTCAGGACCTCATTTTCATCACCTCCTTAAAGGCCCTGTCTCCAGATACAGTTCTGTTCGGAGACACTGGGGGTTAGAACTTCAACATAAGAATGTGGGGGGGCTACAGTTAGCTCCTATAAGCAGGACTCCATTTCTCCATGGTGGTTGGGATCCATCACCCCAGTAGTAAAGCAGCCTTTTCTCTGCCTGCTGGTTCAGTGGCTGTAGGACCCCTGATGGTGGAAGGGCCATCTCAGCTTCCAGCTTACGGGAGGGGGACTGGGTTCCCTGGTGGACGAGGTCCTTCCTTGGATGCCAAGACCTTCAAGGCCACGGAGCAGAGATCCTTCAGACGGTGCGGCTGCCTCCCTCTCTCCACCCTGGCCCTGTGTGTTCTGGCTTTTGGCAAAGCAGCCCCACGTGTGGTCTGCCCCTGCGCTGTGAGTTCCTGGCACGAGCCCACTGCCATTGTCCTGGTGGTAGGATGGGTCCCCCTTGGGAGGTGATTGTGGTTCAGTGGGGAGTTGGCACCGGCATCTCAGCAGGACAGCAGAGACGCGTCTGTGCTGTGCCCCTCGGCCCCCAGGGGCCCAGTCACCGTCTCCACCATGCCTGTGATGTCCATGTAATCAGCCTGTTACCATTTCGCTGATGCATGCCTGTTCTCTGACCACGCTGACAGGTTAGCTTTGGTCTTTGCTGATTTGGGGTTGGGCTTTTGGGGAGTTGGGGTGTCCACGTGATTGGCCCACACACAGCCTCTGCCCCCTCTGCAGGCCTCTTTGTGTCTGGGCTCGTGGAATTGTCACTGGGATGGCAGAGAGACCCGTTTACCAGTCTCAGATGTAGAGGACACCCCATAGATGCATGGAGGTGTTTCTGTGGGACAGCACTCGTTCTGTGCTTCTCCCCAGACCTTGTCCTCAGTCTTGCCATCTTGGTCTTTATGAGTCTGGCCAACTGGTCACCCTCTTGGATGCTACCTTTTGTAGAGCCAGGCTTGGGCTAGGTGTCCCCTGGCTTGGCCTACTGGGGGACATTGGTACATGTACACATTTGCCCATGAACCGTGTCTGCAGGCTTCTCTTGTTTCCCAGCAGCCAGCATCCTTGTAGAGCCCCGGGTTGGTTGAGGGAGAGGGGAGCTGGACCCTCTTGTTCATACAGCTCACTTCCAGGTGCGCTTGGGCCCCGTCTCCAGTATTCCCACTTGAGGACAGAAGACCAGACATACTCGGTCTCACTGGGCACTTGGGTCAGTCAGGTTAGACCAAGACCTCAGCAGCAAGCCCAGAGCTGTTGTCAAGTGGATAATGGATTTTGGTCGAGGAGGAAATGGCCCTGCTCTGGGATATTGGGAGCCGGGACCAGAGATGTTTCTCTTGTTGGCACTTGCCAGAGACATCTCTGCCACAGATGCGTCAGGCACCATGGGCCTGACGGGCCGTCCTCCCAAGTGGCATGATGTTACTTTATAGGACATCCCCGCATTTCCCATCAGATCTCTAGAACTCCCCTGGAAGCTCTGGCCTTTGACAGGGCTTATCTTCCACCCTGGGGTCAACACGGGTTTGACTAAGTCATCCGGGGCGCTTGTCAACTCCCACACCCAGTCCAATCAGCATAATGTCCTCAAGAAAACCAAGAGCACCAGGATCCTACTAAGCCTGGGAGAGGGGGTGCCATCGGGACAAACCGTGAAAGTATGTTGACGTCCCCATCAAGCAAGCTGCTTCTGATTCCCTTCTTCTGTGAGGGTAGAAAAGGAAGCATTTGCCAGGTTAGCTGCATATCAAGAGACGCACTGTGTGGTTTTCTGCAGGAAACATAGTCTCAGCTATGACTGGCGTGGCCACAGGATACATGGTGATCACCTGTCCTAACAGCATCTGGCAAAGTCCTATGGGAACACAGAAGGATCTCCCCCCCGCCCCTCCTCGCAGCTTCCAAGTGTCTGATCTTGGAGCAGATCTCTGCAGTTTCCCTGGAAATGTGGTTTTGGCTTGCAGGGAGGTCCCTGCACAGGTCAGGGAACCGATGTGGTATGCTGCCAACCCTCTCCCTACATCCGGGGGACTGCAGAAACTCCAGCAGGAAGGGTCTGCAAAGCCCTTGGCTCGCAGGCTCCAGCCCGGGCCCCATACTGTCAGACCGCCAAGCCCCCGTCAAGCTCCCGTTGGCGACTGTGATGGTTTTCAGGGCCATTATCAGTTCAGGGCTGTTATCCAGTAACCCCCAGGAGGTCTGAAAATGGCCACAGGACCCCTTACATACTTGGGGACACTAACAGTAACTGGATTCTGAGTTCTTCTTTTCAGGGGACCTGACCTCCCTGCTCCATCAAGGGCTCTGGGCCTGAACATGAGGCCCCGAAGCCTCGCAGTGACAGGTTGTGTCTGAGAACTGCCCACTTGGCCACCATCACCTCTTGTTTGCAGAAGACCCCTGAGGGTCCCCACTTCAGAAACACCCATGTGTGCGTCACCTGGGTCTTCTTGAAACTTCACTCTGACTCACTAGCCTGTCTGGGCCGGGGGCCAGGACAGCGCTTCCAGGACCCTCAGGCGCTGCTGGCCCCAGGAGCGTGCACGAGAGCAGCAGGTCAGAGTCAGGCCCCTTCCAGGGCTCAGGCCGGCCCAGCCCAGTGGCTGCATGTCCCACACTTGTGCAGGGACTGAGACGTGCTCCGTGAGGCGTTCTCTCTCCTCTCCCTGGAGGCCGTGTTAGGATCTAGCCTCCGTTTGTTTCTGGAGGCAGAGGGATGATCCAGACACAGATGTGGTCACACGGGGGCATGACGGCTCTGGCTAGAGGACCCAGCAGCCTTGGTCTCCTGCCCATCTGTCCCGAGCCCTTCCCAGGTCTCAGGGTGTCCCTCTTCTTGAAAATTGCTATTCCTCAGCAAATAAAGGCTTCAGTGGGTCCAGCCTTGAGTCAGACTGCGGCACGTAGGATGAGGCCTGTATGCCCGCCCTGTGGCCAGAGAGGCCCCGGCCCCGTGTGCCCTCAGCTCGCCTTCATTTCTTCCCTTTCAAGGGAGAGGGAGAAGTGCCCAGGCTTCACAATCACCGCTGTGGCTATAGCAACAGCCCCTTGCTGCCACCTGCACTCCGCCCAGTGCCACCACCCGGGGAACCTGAGTGCCCGTGACGCCACTTCCCATCCACAGGGTCAGCCCTGAGCTCCTCAGATCTGAGTCGCCCAATGCCAGGAGCCCATGCGGAAGGTCTGTGTCCTGGGGCCACTGTGAGTGCTGCTGGCCTCATCAGTCAGGGCCCTGGCAGGGAGGACACACACACGCTACGGCTCAGCTTTAATGCAGGACCAGCTGCAGAGGTGGGTCAGGGAGCAGAGAGCCCAAGGGAGGTTCCTGCAGGGGCCAGGGCACTAGGCATGGACGTTACCCTTCCCAGGTGTGAGGGAGGAAGAGAGGCATGTCCCACAGACCTCTGACCTTGCCCTGGGACTCCTTCCAGATGGTGCATAGACCAAACCCAAGTGGAAGCCAAAGGCAGAGAAGCCAGGTGCCACCAAACACCTGGGTGTGACCTGGACTCCAGCCCAGGGAGGGGATGGCAGTGGGCCTGGCGGGGGAGGGAAAGTGGGGGTAGAGAAGGAGGGAAAGGAGTCGGGCCCTTTTCAGGGCCCCAGGAGGGTTGGAGGGGCTGCAAAAGAGGGCCATCCTGAGCCTGGTGTCCTTGCCCACAGCCCAGAGGGCGCACCACGTCCGCTTGGGCAGGGGGGATATGGATAGAGTTCAGCCCCCGGCGTGATGGAACGTCATGAATGCAGACCCTTCCCAGACTGAGAGAGGCCCCGGGTGCCGCTGCAGGGGATCATGCATGCCCCTCTCCCACCCAATACCTCACCACCACCTGCCCTGCCCATGGGGTGCAGCCCAGCGGCCCTAATACCAGGCCAGAAATCTTCCCTGCATCCTCCTGGTCAAGGGTCTCCACCTGGGTTGGCAGAGGAGAGGGGCTGCCCGTAGGATGCTCCAAGTGGCCCCTCCCTGCCCAAGCCAAGCTGGGCTGCAGACCCCCCTACTCAGCAGCAAGAGGTGGCCAAAGCCCCATTGTCTGCCCTCCACACCTGGCGGAACCCCTCCTCCTGGGGCCCTGGGGCCAGCTTGTAGAATGGCCATCCCTCCAGGTGAGGTCAGGTGTACCAAACACCATGCGGGAGGGGGCTGTGAATGCCAGCACCGTCCCCAACTCCTGACCCCGGCTCAGACCACTGCCTTTGGGGAGAGCTACAGAGAAACCTGACGGAACACCCAGGGCCAATGACAGTGGTGAGCCAGACTTCTCCATCAGGGAGGCTTGTCCACCCATCAGCCCTGGTCAGGATAGCCTGGCCTGCTCCGGTCTTGGGCAGGGATCCCCTCCGGGATTCAGGGGTGCACATATGCAGGGGCCCGAGGCTCAGCCTTAGAGTGCTGGTCAGCCCCACGAGTTCGTGCCCCACCCTGTGAGGGCCAGCCATGCAGCAGGACAGCGGGTGAGCTCCAGTGGGGACAGCTGACACTACGAAGGGGCCAAGGCTTACACCAGGGGCTGCTCTTCTGAGCTCACCTCTCAGAGGGGTGCACGTGGGGCTGCCCACCCTACTGTGTCTGTGGCTGAGAGTCAGCACCCCAAGTGTCCCTCAAAGAAGGAGTAAGTGGGTCCAGTTCCCTCCAAACCGTGGTTCCAGAGCAGATCCAGGGATGAGGCCAGGCCTGTGCTCTGTTAAGGGAAAGCTTCAGTGAGGATCTGAAGTTGAAATAGGTCACAGGAGGGGAGGTGAAACCAAAAAGGTTGTGCATGAAAACGTCCAAATCGATTTACATCCCAAACTCAGGTGTTCATGTACTCACTCAACAAACACTGATGGAGGGTCTGTGTGCTGGGGCACCTGTCACCTCAGCAGCCTCCCGAGCCCTCCATGAAGGCCCCTCCTCTGTCTTTCTAGCACATCAACCTGCTTTGTCTTTTTAAAAATAATACCTTTATTGAGTGCAATAACCTGCACTCTTTAAAGTGTACAATTTGATGAGGTTGGACACATTTACATCCGTGACCCCCAGAAGTCGCCACAGCACCCCTGTCCCGGGTCCCTGCCCTGTCCCAGGCAGCCCCAGATCTGCTTTCTGTCACTAAGCTCCCCTGGCTTTTCTAGAATATTACATAGACACCATCAGACAACGTACACTCTCTTTACTCTTCATGGTTCTTTCGCTTAGTGTAACTATCCTGAGATTCATCCCTGTTGTTTCCAGTGTCTGTTTTTTGCTAACCCATTGTATGGATGTGGATCAGTCAGGTGGCCCACTCGCTTGTCAGATGTTTGGGTAGTTTCCAGTTTGGGGCTATTACAAATAAAGCTGCCGTGAAGATTTGTGCACAAATATCTGTGTGGACACGTGCCTTCTTTTCTGTTGGATAAACACCTAGGAGTGG